TTACATAAAATGTTAACTTGGCTTATTTGGGTTCTGGTTTTTTTTTTTTTTTTTTTTTAATGACCCTGATATTTGAAAATATTGTCAGTAGAGTAAACATTTAATTTTCTTTCTTTTAGCTTTATTTTAGTTGAAAATATAATCCTACATTTATTTTGGGTTCTCATCCCACTCATACAATATTTCTCTTTCAAACTTCAACTTTGGGTATTTAGCTTTATTATTTCACTATCTGTCTTTTAAATATAACAATTCAATTAGCACTTACTAGAATTAAACATTGCTGAGTCTTCATTGCGTTCAGACTTTCAGTAAAAATAAAGAATTTTGGATCCACTAAATATATTAATTTTAATTTGTTCTGTGAATGTTTATATGTAGCCAAGTAAGAATAAAGAGATAAAGATAAAATAATAAGTTATCTCATTTAAAGAATAAATAGGTTTCTGGGTGTGGTGGCATATACTTGTAATCCTAGTATTCAAGAACAAGATGCAGGAGGATGACAGTAAGTATGAGGCCAGCCTGTTCTACAGAGTGAGTTTTAAACAGACAAGCCTATAGTGAGACCCTGTCTCAAAACGAGCAAAACAACAAAGAAGAAATATGTTACTTAAACATAGCTGTAAGTGATCACATGTATTTATCATGCTGCTGTTAAAATATAAATTTATAAAATAGTTGTATTATTCTTCTGAACCATTTTGTAATTAAATTTTTAATTAAATCATACATTAATAAAAATTATAAATTGTACATAAGAAATCTGATAAGTAAAAGTGCATCTGTCTGTTCTGATAATTTTGATGTTTAATTTTCTGTTAGCATATTAACTATTCATGCTTGCTTTATTTTTCATTGTTAGTTGATAAAGTGAGCTTTATGTAGGAGAAACATATCAGCTATATCTGTATCTGTTTATTATATACATTGATAAAAATGTTATGGTTGTAGGAGAGGCTGTTTCTCACTCAATGCAAGGCCCAGGGCCAACACTCCTATAACAAAAGATTGATTAGCTTGGTAAATTTTTTTTTAATTAGAGTTTTACATGTTATGGGAGCCTTTGAAAATGACCCCTACACCTTGTGGAACCTGTACTTTTTTGGCTGCTTTGTGAAAGAAGTGGATAGCTGTGACATGACTGACTAAAAAGGCAATCATCATCCACGCCAATAAGCAGGGAGGAGTGGCCCATGCCTGTGTGCTTAGACTTTTCTAGGCCTCTCTGGGTCCCATTTCTTTTCCCTGGATATGGGATAGGACCCCTCCAGAGTGAAGGCTTAGGAACGTTTGTTAGGACAGTGGCTGCTCTGTGACTATGCTGTACCCAGAAAGGCCACGGAAGGTCAGGGCAATCAACCATTCTCAGGTTTCTCAGTGTCCTTCAGGTCAAAGTGTGCTGGGCTTAGTGTTCTCTGAGCCCTGACATTTTCCTAACTCTCTCAGGAAGGACAGTACACAGAGCATGCTGTTCCTAAACTTGATTGTGCTTCTTGCTCAATAGCCTCAAAGAACGACATCGTGAGCCTTGGTTAGAATAAAGCGCAAAGCTTCACAGCGCCTGCAGACTGCATCGCGGTGGCTCCTGCCTCTTTCTGACTTCATGTCTAGTCACTTACCCAATTTCTTTTTCTAGCCCCAGCTTGGCCTTCTGTGATCATCACAGCGTGCTCATCCTCGCTCAGGCTTTCTTCATGGTCAGTCCCTTGCTCTTGGAGCATGCTCAAGCATTTCACATGGCTGGCACCTGTGTTTCATTCGTTAGGTCTCTGTTTAGAATCTAACCTTTTGGAGAGCTCTTCCTCCTGCTTTTTCAAATTTGTGTCCACATAAAGATGAAATGACTCCATGTGCTTATTACTATTTTTCTTGTTTTTGGAAAAGATGCTTTTATTGTGACAGTTAGAGATGTCCTTGTATAGAAATTATATGGCTGAATTAGAAATGCATGCAAACTTTGGTTAGGAGCTTAAAACTATTATTTTAAAAATCTTTCTCAGCTTTAGTTTTTATGGCAGTTTTCAATACATAGACTGTTGTGTATTTGTGTGTTGATTTTTCCATTAAAATGCAAGTTCTACATGTATGCGGGAATCTGTTCTGTCCACTTCTGTAAACTCAGTGATGCCCAGCACGCAGGACGGTAAGAATCGTCCTTGACTGAGTGACCGGTCAGTGGGCACTTTGACAGTGGGTCACTAAGATGATTAGAAAATAGTTCAAAAGCCGTAATTATCAAATGAGTTAAACTGTGTCAAGTGGCCTACGTGACACGAACCTTGTAGGGATGTCATGGGTTTTTGGATTGGGCAGGGTGCGTTGTTCACTCTGCTCTGAACTGTCTCCCTTCTGGGTTGTTGCATGGGGCACTGAGAACAGTAAGCAGTAGGTAGTTATTAGAAGTAGTTTCCTACTTCCTGTCTGTTAGTTGAACGAATTAGTATTGCTTCCTATACAGAGGTTTCTTGAGGAGGAACATGGCAGCCTTACCGTAGCGACAGAAGCAAAAGCTAAAAGCTTCAGCAAGAAAACATTTAAGTGATGATTTCAATGAGATGGCGAATAGGAACAGGGAGAGACTGGTGCGCTTGAATCAGAGTTCATAAAACTCTGACTTTACATCTTGGAAGTAAGAGAGTGGGCACCAAGTGAGGTCTGTAACTCTTGTACAAACCTTATCAAGGCAGCTATGACCATTTAGGTTGGCAAAGAGGAAAGCAGTAATGGCCCTCCTGCAATCGCCTCACACATTGTTCCTGGCTCAGAGGCGCTTCAGAAGTAGAGAAGCGATGACACTTTATGATGCTGAAACACACACCTCTGGGTGAGGTGTTAAGGTGTTAGTGACACAGGTGAAGTTGTATGTGGAACTACATGCAACAGGTAGAGTGTGCCACTATGCAGATGAGGTAGAGGGCCATGCCTCTCTCTGTGAAGCCAGGCTGTGGGGCTTTTAAACCTTCCTGCCCCAGCCTGCTTCCTCCTTGGAAGTGTGTCTTTACCTAATAAGTTCTGTCACTCTTCTTGGTCCTATCTACAAGTCTCTGGGACACAAGAACCTGGAACCACTCAGTAGGGGCCCTTTGAATCCTGGTATCAGCCAGTATCACTTTGTACTATTATATGCAAGGAAAAAAGCCGTAACGCAGAATAGATAGCAAAACAATTCCTTGCACTTGGAGCAAGTAACTCAGTCTCAGTTCTTTAGTTTCTTAATGTGGATATGTAAGTTATATTTTTGTATACTTTATTATTTTTGAGAACTAACTAAAGATATATATATATATATATATATATATATATATATATAATTTTAAATTTTTTAAGTGCTGAATGGTATTTAACATATTAATTGGATTTTATAATTTAGGTTTTCTTCTCACTTCTTAAGACTCCAGTTCTTCCAGAACAATTACACTAGAGCAGACATCGTTAACATATTTAATAGTAAATTTCTATTTTCATTGCTTTTCTATTGTACTAAATTTAAAAATGTGTTTTCTATAATTGAACAGAATTATGTTTGAAGAATCTGAAAGATTTATCATCACTAGACCTGATAAAGATGGATGAAGATGTTAATTTCCAACCAACAGGTAGTTTTAATTTAACACTTGCTTACTAATTCTAAAATTTTGTTTTTCTAAAATTTAAGCAATGGTAAAACTAACTTGTGATTTTGTTTTTAGTAGAGTATCATCATTTTTAGCTCAAGTCATCAGTTCCTATAAGTCCCTTTTGAAATTGTATAGTTCATGGCACAAAGGATTCCCTGATTTTGGTGATGCTCAGCAGAGGATTTGAAGTCTTGGGTCTGCAGGCATTGTAGGCCAGTTACAACCAGCGTAGTTACAACCTTTGCCACTTGAACACACAGCATGGGTTATCTGAGTGGCTGTGTAGGCTCCAGTGTGTAGGAAAGCAAAATTGCCTTCTGATCTCTTAGGTGTGTTGACAGAGGGGCTCTGAGTTGTGTGTCGGAGACAGTGAGGTCTGTCCATTCCCTCTCTCTCCACATCTGTTGTCCTCCTGTTACAAGACAGGCACCTCTGTTTCTGACAGTGCTTGCCTGTGGCACACCACTGACTCATTGTGGACTTGGTTTTGATGACACGCACACAGAGCTGAGACTATTGTGTGTTGTTCTATTCTTTGATAAAAGTTATGCTCTCATAAAAACATGGCTTAGTTACAGAAAATAAATACTTCTAATACTATAATGGGGCACAAAGGTGCCGTGACTTATTTTAAGGGAAAGTTACAAGTCCTTCTTGCACTTGCTGTTTCAGCTTAAAGCGTTGAGTATGCCAGATGTCAGGTTTGTCAGGATGCATCCTGAGCGCACATACTTCATGGTTCCCTCCCTCTCTCTCCCAGTTTCCTTCTCTCACCCTTCTCTTTCTCTCTCAGCTGAGTTTTGCTTAGAATTTAAATAAAAGGATAAAGAGGCTGACTGTTTTCAGGGTGTTTAGAATTGGGACTGATTTTGGAGAAAAATGCTGACTTTATTATTCAAATTAACCATTGTAAGGAAAAATATATGGGAAATTTTAAATAAAATTCAGGATCTATTGATTTGGCATATATTCTTCTATTTTAATGAACTTTTTACATAGATGCAGCCATACTCTAGAAATTGTGTGTCATCTTCATTATATTCAGTGTACAGGCCCCGCTGAGTCCCAGCCCTGTGTGACAAGCCTTTCCACTTCCTGGCTTCTGTACTGAGCTGTCTAAAGAGAGGGACTACAAGAATTTCTAGCGTAACTTCCTCATCTACCCTTAGCTATTCTAGATCATAAAACAATCAGTATTTTCACTATCACTTTTCTGTGTTATTGCTGTTATCATTCTGGGCTCTTTTATTTTTGAGACAGGAAGTGAAACTCACCATGTTGAGCTGGATGCTGATGCAGCTGGCAGCCATCCTCCAGCCTCTGCCTCCTGAACTCTGGATTACATGCCTAGTTCCTACAGTAGCCCTGGTGCCAGTGAAGCCATTCTTTCTGCTGTTAGTAAATGATCATCTAACGCGCTGGCTTTCTCCATTCTCAGTGGACTTTAGCTGATCTCTTCCAGACACCGCTGTGTGTGTCCTCCTGCTTTTAAGTTGGCACCTCTTCTTACTATCAGCTAATGAAGGCTTCAGACTTGAGAGCTCGGTTTGCAGTTTTGCTTCTTGGGAAATGCAATTTGCCATCAGAGTTGCAGCTACAAACATTTTGTGAATTCGTTGAGAACTGCAGTTTGTGTGTTGGCAGCAGCAAAGCTTGACTAGGAGCCAGGGCTGTGTGCTGCCAGGTGAGCAGCTGCCGTTGTCTCGGAGATGGCTGCTGGGCGAAGCGGGGTCGCTGACCTTTAACTGCAGATAAGAGGGTCAGGGGAATCGGGTTGGAAGGGAGTTCATGAAGAAACCCTCTTTATACAGGGTTAGCATGGCTGTTAAGGGAAGAGAAAGGCACTTGTGAAGGATTGTACACAGATGTGGGCAGCATGTTTCTCAAGAGAGTCACACTTAGATGTCTTTAGTAGTCGTGTATGACTCTCATGGCTTCTGAAGCCACTGTGCCCAAAAGATGTCTAAAGGACTTTTCCTCCTAATTTTCCTCCTTTTTGGTAAGCTAGACCATAGGGTAGTTTCATAGGGTCACAAGAGTCAAAGTAATCCTTTGGATTTCAGCTTTATCTTTTAGTTCTTTGAGGGTTTGTTTATTTCTTTATCTATTTTTCAGGATAAGGTTTCTCTGCGTAGCCCTGGCTGTCTTGGAACTCACGCTATAGACCAGGCTGGTCTTGAACTCACAGAGATCCACTTGCTTCTGGCTTCCCAAGTGCTGGGACCAAAGGCATGTGCCATCAACATATGTCTCTTTGAAGGTTTACAAATGATATATGCATTTCATTTTTTTTCTTTCTTTCTTTTTTAAACTTTATTTATTATTTATTACAATTTATTCACTTTATATCCCCACTGCAGCCCCCTCCCTCATCTCCCTCCAGTCCCACTCCCCCCCTCCCCCTGTACCCCACCTCTAGTCTGCTGATAAGGGAAGTCCTCCTCCCTTTCCCTCTGACCCTAGCCTATTAGGTCTCATCAAGGCTGGCTGCATCATCTTCCTCTGTGGCCTGGTAAGGCTGCCCCACTACCACCTCAGGGGAAGGTGATCAAAGAGCCACTGAATTCATGTTATGATAGTCCCTGTTCCCCTTACTAGGGTACCCACTTGGAGACTGAGCTGCCATGGGCTACATCTGAGCAGGGGTAGATTTATTTATGTTAGTTATTTTAGTTGACTTTAGCAGAATGCTATTTCATAATTATTCAAACTGCCATTAACGTAGGTAGCAATTTTTAACTGCTATTTCTAAATCTTTGGGTTTTTAATTTTTTGTTTTGTTTTGAGACTGTCTCTCTCTGTACCCCATACCAGCCTCAGACTAGAGATGATCCTTCTGCCTCAGCCTTCAGAGTGCCAGGATGACAGGCATGTGCCATCACATCTTAGTTGATTTTTATAACTTTCTTGTTCGTTATGTTATTACTATCTTGTTTCATCTTCTTGAGTTTATTGTTTTGTATATAAATTCTATTTGTATATTCAATAATTCTGTTTCATATAGTTTTTGTTTTTAAATTTGTGGTCATATATATTAATATATATCATATATATATTAATATATTAATATAACTATATTTAGATAGTTTTGTCTGTTAGCTTATTGATATTGTTCCTATTTTAAGAAAGATTACTCCTTTAAAAATAGCTGGTATCTGCAAGAAGCTTGGCAGTCATTAAACTAGAATGTAGCTCATCTATGAAGGAAAGAATGCCAGGAGGACAGATTTTAGCATGCATTGTAATCCTTGGTGCACTTGACAAAAATGGTGGGAAATAAGTTGACTATAACTGTGTCCGCTGGGCAGGCTGTTGGCTGACATGCCTACCCTAGTGTGCTGTCACTCCACTGGCTGGGAGATTTGTGACGGCGTGTCTCAGGGTTGCTGTCATGGTGGGCTGATTTGGGATAAGTGCAGGTGAAGCCATTGGCTCTTGCAGTAGGAAATCTGAGAGGTTCATTCTCACAGCTCCCATGCTTCTACCTTGCAAACTTTATCTGAGTGGCCTTCCAACTGAAATACTGTGGACTTATTACTCTGAGAACACCCATCAATTGAGAACTGTATTGGCAGCAAGTCGCCTTGAATTCCTGTTTACTTGTAACTTTTTTTTTTCCCATGTTGGTTCCATCCTTTGACTTTTACTAATTTTCTTTATATTTCTTCTCTTGATTATTTTTTCTTACCTAAGAAACTTCATTCTAGTTAATAAACCAACAAATATTAATGTTTTGCTTATTTTTTTATGTCTTGTAGTAGGGAGGTACTTTATATTAATTTTTTTTAATTTTATTAATTATACTTTATTCACTTTGTATGCCCCCATAAGCCCCTCCCTCCTTCCCTCCTGGTCCCACCCTCCCTCCCCCTTCTTCACGCATGCCCCTCCCCAAGTCCACTGATAAGGGAGGTCCTCCTCTCCTTCCTTCTGATCTTAGTCTATCAGATCACATCAGGAGTGGCTGCATTGTCATCTTCTGTGGCCTGGTAAGGCTGCTCCCCCTCAGGGAGGTGATCAAAGAGCAGGCCAGTCAGATTATGTCAGAGGCAGTCCCCCTTCCCATTACTATATAATCCACTTGGACACTAAACTACCATGGGCTACATCTCTGTAGGGGTTCTAGAGCCATTAGGGAAATGCAAATCAAAACGACCCTGAGATTTCACCTTACACCCATCAGAATGGCCAAGATGAAAAACTCAAGTGATAACACATGCTGGAGAGGTTGTGGAGAAAGGGGAATCCTCCTCCACTGCTGGTGGGAATGTAAACTTGTACAACCACTTTGGAAATCAATCTGGTCCTTTCTCAGACAACTAGGAATAGCGCTTCCTCAAGATCCAGCCATACCACTCCTAGGCATATATCCAAATGAGGCTCAAGTACACAATAAGGACATTTGCTCAACCATGTTTGTAGCAGCTTTATTTGTAATAGCCAGAAGCTGGAAACAGCCCAGATGCCCCTCAACTGAAGAATGGATGCAGAAATTGTGGTACATCTACACAATGGAGTATTACTCTGCAATGAAAAATAAGGAAATCATGAAATTTGCAGGTATATTAATTTTTGAACAGACAATGAAAGGACCATTCTCCAGTATATTCCCCAAATGACTGTGTTCTTGCACTGCTGTTTTAGAAGGTCCTTCCTGATACAGTGTTACCTGCACTCTCACTGAACACACTCAGCTCCTATTTGGGACAGTGACTCCAGCTGTGACCTAGTTCCTTCCCAAAGTAATTCACTAACTAACTAATTAGTGTTTGTTAATTCTGCCTGTTTTACAGTGTTCTTGATGCCTGTCCCTCTATTGGCATGCCAGAAATTTTCCTTCTTCAAGAAAACCTATGGTTTATACATCAATGCTTACAGTTCCCTTGAGACTCAGGATGCTACTTTGCTTTTCCTGGCTCTTTTTCATGTATGTTTGTAAGGACTGGAATTCTTTGGGCTGCTTTGGACAACTACTAATTAGATCCAGTAGCCTCTAAAGTGAATTTTATGCTGTCAGTTCCTCCTCCCAACCACCTTGCTATGCTATTTTCAAACAATTATCTTCAGACTCTGGTTTAACTTAAAAATATTGCTCAAGAATTATAAGTGGTCCTGCTATTTTACAATCAGATCCAAATTCTGAACTGTTCTGAATAACTGTAAAAGCTCCTTGAGGCCCCTCTAGTTTATTATTCATCATCTCATAATTTTTAAACTTAGGCAGCATTTACTTAGTATTACGCACCACAACCATATTTTGAGGTTTGTACTATTCTTACCCTAGTACATTAAGAAATGTGCACATAGTGAGTGGTGACTGGCACCAGGCAGGCTGGCTGGAGTTCATAATGACCATCAAGCCGTACCCCCTTCTACAGCCATCTACAGCCATCTAAAGATGTCTTCTTAATTTTCTGTCTCAGTAAATAAATCCCAATTCTCTCCAAGGTCATAGTGCCTTTGTCTCCTTACTGCCAAGTCATATTAGTCACTTTCAAAATCTTGTTTAAAGCTCATTTTTCCTATTCTATCATGCTATACTGGCCTTTCTCTCAGGGTTAATTTCTTCTGTACCTTAGTGTGCATGTGAATGTTATCATTCTGTGGATCTTGTTCTCTGTCTTGCCCATGGTTCCACCTTCAGGCAACCTGTAAGCTCCACAAGTTGTATATTCTACATTTTGAGGAGTGTCTTCTGCTTGGGGCTCACAGTGCACATTAAGTAGATATTAAGCAAATGCTTGTTAAACTTTTTTCTGTTTTTTATTTTTATTAATTACAGTTTATTCACTTTGTATTCCCCTGTAGCTCTCTCCCTCCTCCCTTCCCAATCCCATCCTCCCTTCCCTTTTCCCATCCCTGTCCCTCCCCAAGTCCACTGATAGGGGAGGTCCTCCTCTCCTTTCTTCTGATCCTAGTGTATCAGGTCTCATCAGGAGTGGCTGCATTGTCTTCCTCTGTGGTCTGGTAAGGTTGCCCCCCACTTCAGGGGGAGGTGATCAAAGAGCAGGCCAATCAACTCCTGTCAGAGACAGTCCCTATCCCCATTACTATGGAGGCCACTGGGATACTGAACTTCCATAGGCTACCTCTGTGCAGGGGTTCCAGGCCATCTCCATGAGTGGTCCTTGGCTGGAGTATCAGTCTCAGAAAAGACCCCTATGCCCAGACTTTTGGGATCTGTTGCTCTCCTTGTGGAGCTCCTGTCCTCTCTAGGACTTACTATCTCCCAGTTCTTTCATAAGATTCCCTGCACTCCACCCCATCCAAAGTTTGGTTATGAGTCTCAGCATCTGCTCTGATACCCTGTAGGGTAGAGCCTTTCAAAGGCCCTCTGTGGTAGGCTCCTGTCTTGTTCCATGTTTTCTCCCTCTTCTGATGTCCATCCTCTTTGCCTTTCTCAATGTGGATTGAGCATCTTAGCCAGAGTCCTCCTTCTTGATTAGTTTATTTAGGTGTACAGATTTTAGTATGTTTATCCTAAATATACTTGTTAAACTTCTTAAAGAGCAAGTTGTGGGGCTGGAGAGGTGGCTCAGAGGTCAAGAGCACTGGCTTCTTTTCAAAGGTCCTGAGTTCAATTCCCAGTAACCACATGGTGGTTCACAACCATCTGTAGTGAGATCTGGTGCCCTCTTCTGGTGTGCAGGTGTACATGCAGGCAGAACACTGTATATGTAATTAATGTATCTTTTTTTTTTTTAATAAAAAGCAAGTTGTACCAGCTAATGTGGACAATGTTTGTTTTCTATCTTTTCACACAGAGGCAGGAAGACTAATGGCTTGGTATTATATTACATTTGAGACAGTGAAGAAATTTTATGCAATAAATGGAAAAGAAACTTTATCAGATTTAGTAAGTTTTCACTAGAAATTAATAATTATAGAAAAATAATAACTCATATGGTCTCTATAACTGAAACTTGAATGAGCAGAAATCAAAAATTATTTTAATGGTCATGTCTCCCTCTGATCATGAGGTACAGAACATAACTTCTAAGAATGCATTATATTTTCATTTGTTTCTTATCAAAGCTAAGAAAATTTATTTTCAAATAGGTATGACTACTTTCTTACAACTTATTACTTACTTGATAATGACAATTGCTTCAGAGTGATATGTAAATGTAATATGTGAGAAAGATTCCAAGAGAATACAGCATAATATATTAGCAAAATTTGCCATGAATGAATGACAGTGGGTCACAATATGACAGCATGTTGCTGTAGTGTCCTGTGCCTGCATCCCTTCCCTAAATTATCTGCCTAAGCATCACAACAGTGGAAATAGGGTAAAAGGATTGTGATATCCAGGAGGGGGGCGGAACAGCTGACTGGAGAACATGGGACCAGTGAATGGGGTGTACTTAAAGTCAACAGTGGGAACAGTTTTGTAGTCACTGTGATGAGCAGGGCACAGGCAGGCTGCTGAGACCAATAGCCTGCTTTGGTTCTTTCCCTTTGTGCTGGAGACATGAGTATAAAAGAAGAGATTGGTAGAAGACATCTTCTACCAATCTTAAACCATATACTTTGATCTTAAATAACAGTTAGTTACCACAATGATATTGTTAAAGTAAAGACCATACAGTACCATTCTGCCATTTTTGTTAAGGAGTTGTGTGAGCAAACTCTGATAAAGTAAAAGCTTTGTATTTCCATGTAAATATCATTCTTCTCTAAGAAGAAATTAAGATTAACAGATATCATTGTCAGCACCATCTGTATGTACTGTTTAAAACGCTTAGTTTCATCTCCCAGAACCAGTCTACAAATCCACGTTTCTTAGCTTTTACAGCATCTTCCCATTACTAAATTATTGGGATGGTGATTTGCCAACCACAGAAGGATGAACAGCAGCAGTGACAGCCCGTGACGAGAGCAGCATGCACCGTGCGTCTCTCACGGCACTAACAGAGTGCGTGTAATTCTGGTCATTGTTTCAGCATGAGTGACTTTGTCCTGAAGGCTGATCACTTTATAAGTTACAGGGTCTGGTGTATTGGAGCTATTTCTAAGTGCTTGTTTGTGAATGAACCCTTAAAGAAGTAAAATGTGTAAGACCACTTTAAATTCTGCTTTGCCAGCAAATAAAACCAGAGTGCCTTTAGGAAGCAGCATATAAGTAAATTAGAGAAAAAGGCTTTAAAATTTTTTTAAATGTAGTTTGTTAACCTGACAAATGCTTAAATTTTACAGATTTCAATGATAGCCAGCTGCAATGAGTTTGTAGATGTGCAGCTGAGGATAAGTGAAAAGAGGACACTGAACAGTTTAAACAAAGACCCAAAGCAGATCACTATCAGGTACAGACAGTGCATGTGCTTTGTAGAACGTGACAAGTTTTTAAGTTAAAAAAGAAGAGCTTTCCATGTGTTTTTATCTACAGATTTCCAATGGAAGGGAGAATTAAAACAAGAGAAATGAAAGTAAACTGGTAAGGAAAATTTATTCTTAATGTACTAAAATACTGCATGCAGATCTGTAATTCATGTTTATGAGGGTTTTCTTTCATGTTTTGAAGACAAAGTCGCCATGTATAGTTCCAGCTGTTCTCAGAACTCACACTTTTCTGCCACAGTCTGTTCCTGTGTGCTGTGATTGTTGGTGTGAGCTGCCGTGCCCAGCTTCTTCTTTTAAAATAGGGTTTCTTTAATTTAATTAAAAAATATTGTGTTTACGGAAAAACAAGGAATCAGAATTTATATGTGAAGTTAATTTCCAAGAGCTCTCAGACTTCAGGTAAAATAAAGTGTGCATCTGGGGATGTGAGTCAGCGGAGGAGCCTTGACTGTGCGAGGCACAGTCAGAAGGAAGGCCAGGGGAGTGGAGAGGGAGGGGAGAAAAGCCACGGAAGGAAAGAAAGAAACAAAAGAAAACTTTCAATTAAAAAATCTCTTGTCGACAGTGTATTCTGTTGAGGCAAAGGAGATGATAGAAAGAAAATGTGCTTATGCTAATTGGGATCTCTCAAGTGAGCATGAAAATACAACTAGGAAGTGCTCACCAGTAGTGATGGAACGCTAGAGAGACAGACCCAAAGTGCACAGGTTCTAGACCTGGAGCAAGGACTTCATCCTCTCTTCTTTAGTTCCCTGCTGTGCATGTGTAAGTCATATTTTCCATACTTTATTATATTTGAGAATTAACTAAAATAACGCATATATATCACTCAGTTACGAAGTCTTCCTCTTCAGCACTAGTTACTCTTTAACTTGGGTACTTGGGTCAGCAGACTTCAAGGCTGTGGCATGGAACCAACACTGACTCACTCTGGAACCGTCTGTGTTGCTTATAGAATGAGCCGTGTGCTTAGCATGCTGACACTCGTGCTCACTGGCTCAGCACTTTACCCCAGTTAGTCCACACAGCCACCCGAGTCAGTTCTTCAGCTGCCTTGCCCCTCTGTTAGTTGAAATGGCAGAAGCACCACCTAGCCTGAGAGTGCAGGATTTCCTTTCCTGCTGCAACAACCCAGGAAAGGAAACTCATAGTGCATTATGATTTAAAATTCTCTTTTGAGACAGGGTCTCTTTGTGTAGCCCTGGCTATCCTAGAACTTGCTGTGTAGAATAGGCTGGCCTGGAACTCATAGAAAGCCATCTTTCTTTCTCTGCCTCTCTTTCACCCTGCTTTATTGCTGCTGGTAAGATATGGTTTCTAAGAGGATAACATGGTATCAAAAGTCTTATATTTACTCGTAGAGCATTGTTATTAAATGTAAATGTTACTTTTAAAGTAGTTTTCTCCAGTAATTTCATACATATCCCACATTTGTGTGTCCCTAGATACCTTCCCAGGGACCTTCGTACAACCTTTAAAAGCACTCCATCCAGTATTTCACTGGATCTTTGCTAAAGATTTTGACATTTTTAAGACAAAAAGAAACTGACAATAAAAAAGTATAAGAAGAAAACAAGAACTAAATATTTTGCATTTGGGAAAGGGAAGTCAAAAGTGACCTGCAATGATAATGAAACAAATAGAATCTCACAGTGCTGTACAAACCAAGACAGAGAGGAATCCTAAAAGATATTTTAGTCAGTCATGCCAACTCCTGTGTGCCTGTAATCTTAAAAACGAAATAATGAATATGTTTTCCCCAGTCTTATTCAGGCTCAGCTCGGGTGCATTCCTATACAAGATTTTACTTTGACACAAGATACCGCGAAGATTTTCAGAAACGGCTCAAGAATTGCAAGATGTATGTTAAATCATTAATAGATTTTCAACATTTTCAAGTAAATTAATATTTAATATTAATATTGAAAACTTTTTTAGGGTTGTCAGATTTTGTGGCTCTTCAGCAAAAGAAGTTTGCTGTGCTTTTAAACAGTGTGGTTTTAGCGAAATGTTTCAAGTGTAAACTGTGGGAAAACTCTCGACATGTGTCTAAGCAGCTGGATAAAATTGGTAGGTACAGGCTGTTTGTCATTGCCTGAAACTTCTTTCATATTTTACTGTTAATAGTATTCTATGATGATTGTAGACTTTTGAAGAAAACAGGCCTTTTTAAGGTACTGTGCTTATAATTGAAAACCAGAGGTTTATCTGCTCTTGCGTAAATGATTCCCATGAGAGCTGGTGAGATGGCTCTGTGGGTGAAGGTGCTTGCTGCCAAGCCTGAGGACCTGAGTTCAGTCCTTCTGACCATGTAGTGCAGGGACCCTGCGCCTCTGACCTCCACAAGTGTTCTCTACACACAGATACACACACACACAAACAAACAAGTGCAAAACAATCAGTTCTTATAGATCAGCTGAATAACTAAAGCAGAAGGACATGAAAAAACTAATTTTAAACTTTGCATTTTGAACCTTGTTCTCATGTTGACAGTGAACTCTGTTTTAGTAATTAGATTATTATTTGACCCATCACCACAGCTTTGTTATTTTTTGAAAAAATCTCCAGCTGATCTCTCTCTCTCTGTTTCTTTCTCCTCTCAACAAGGTCTTACTATGAGGATCTGGCTGGCTTGTTCCTCCCTACATATACCATGCTAGCCTCAAATTCACAGTGCTGGGATTAAAAGTGTGAGCCACCATGATCTGCACATCCTACTTTTTAATTTCTGTGAAATTCAGAGTCAGTGGGGGTAACAGAGCTCGCCAGAAAGTTCTGGGAGTTAGGATAATCATGGGATTAGCTGGTGAAAGTAAGATCAAAATAGAGAAGAAATTCCTATTGGAAAGTTTCACTATATCAGCTACTTACATCATTGCTGGGGCAAAGTAACTGACAATAGCAACTTAAGAATGGAGTACGCCATCGTGGCTCATGTCTGATGGGTAAGCATCGTTGCCATGGGCAAGGCATGGCAGCCATGTGCTCTGGCTGCTCACACCGCTCCTGCAATCAGAAACCAGGAAGGTGAACACTGGGGCCTGGCTGCCTGCTTTTCTCCTTTTTGTTCAGCCCATGCCCTGGCCTATGTGATAGATGGTACCACCTGCATTCAGAGAGCATCCTCCTTTTTCAGTTAAGCCTGGCGGGAACTGTCCTCATGGATTACACCCATTGATGTGTTTACTAGGTGTTTTCTTTTGCTTTTATGTTATTATTTTGTGTGTTTTGTGTTGATTGTCTGTATGTGTGTCTGTATCACAGGAATGCAGTGCCCCTGGAGGCAGAAGAGGGAATCACTCTTCTGGGACTGGAGTTAACAGATGGGTGTGAGCAGCCAAGTGGGTGCTGGGGGTTGAACCCAGTCCTCTGGAAGAGCAGCCAGCGCTCTGCTCTCAACCACTAGGATGTTGCTCAGCTGTTCCTACGTGATTGTGATCTAGTCAACTTAACATTGATTACCCATCACACCAAAGGCCTAGCAAACAAGCGTCTCCGCCATCTAACTTTCCATACCACATACAGAAAACAGCTTCTTGCAGAAAGATTTGAGATTAGTTAAATGACATCTAATAAGTCTTATTCTGCTCAGGTCACTACGCTTGCCTATCTAGAGTACTGTTTGTCTGGGTATCAGTTGCAGTCCGTCTTTCCCAGAATCATGAAGCATGCACCTGTTTTCACACAGTACTTAGCCACACTGAACATAAAGAGGAAGCAGTTCTAATACCAGACTTGAGAAAATCTAAACAGGAGATAAAAACCTAAGTTCATCCTGAGAATCATGAGAAACACAAAACAATAAAAATTGACTTCAATAGTGATTTAAACAAAAAAACTAAAAATCAGGAAAAGGTTTGACAAAGGAATATTAAGGAGCTGTTCATATTAGGAAGTGTGATTCAATAGTAAATAGGAGAGGTTCCCAAGAAGAGGGGACCAGATGGTCTGTCATATCTTCATCAGGGATGCATATTGTAGGTAAGTGGGTCATGTCTTGGAATCACACAATTCTTGAAGAATCCTTTAAATAGGATTTGCATAAATTTATCATAAGAAGGTATGAATTTTTAAATTATGGTTTCTGAAAACATAAACAAATAAATAGTCCAAAAGTAAAATGAACAAAATTAAATAAACAAAACAAAAGCAACTGTGACTGAAGAATACTCAGTGAGTAGGGACAGGACATTAGATGGAAGCAGCCATGTGGGTAAGTCACACAGTGTTAAGAACTCAGCTACAGAAACACGTTGCCACTTCTTTCTAAATGCATCAGAAGTGCTAGAGAGACCTAAGTCATTACTGTCTAGGCAGGTACAGAAATATTGAGCTGTATTTTTAAGACAGACGTGCTCAGAGAGCCATAGCTTCATGAATATTCCTGTCTTGCATCATGTCACCTTTGCTTAAAGTTCAAGTATGAATATATTTGTCTGCTGATGTTTGTCATGTATAGAAATGAACCTGAGGAGCTGTAACTACGAGAGGCAGTCTTTTAAAAAACTTATATTTGTTTATTTAAGAGTGTATATGAGTGTTTCCAGCATTCACACTACATATGTGCAGGTCAGAGGGCAGCTCAGTGGAGTTGGTTTTCTTCTTCTACCGTGTGGGTCCCAAGGATCAAACTGAGGTTCCCAGGCTCAGAAGCACCTTTCACCACTCTGACTGTGTCTTAAGAGTAAACATGAGAATTTCCCAAGAAGAGTTTAAAATTTGAATAAGGAAACAGGAATGTCATACTTTACATTTGGTTTAATTAAGGGTTGAGTCATTATGTAGACCAGAAAGATTTTGTTTCTTTTATGAAACATATAAATTCTATTAAAAGTCTGAATTTTAAAAATTAATTTTTTAGTCAGTTTTATGTTGCTACAATAAGACATTGGAAGCTGGGAGCTTTTAAAGTTAAAAATTTATCTTGCTTTTCTTGACGTTCAAGGGTATGGCGGTCATGTGATTCTCACTGGTCTTATGTGGGTGGCACCAAAATGATGGGATGTTCATTAGGAAGATATCACATAGAGAGACAGGAAGCAAAAGTCTGGGGAGATGCCTGGTTGCTCTCTATGGAACAACCCCTCACTTCGGGCAGCCCTAGGCAGCTCCAGCACATTAGCATCAATCTGCCTAGGAAGGTAGATTCCCTGACCTAACTGCTTTCTATTGGAACCTACCTTCCAAGTCTTCCACCTGCTCAGCACAGCCACAGTGAGGGACAGTAACTTCAGCACACAGTCCTTTGGAGGACACACTCAACAGCGTAGGACCCACCATTGTTACACATTTGGCTGACTCTTTTTAAAGGGATTGATTAACGAATGTTTGCAGCCCTGGGGATCGACCCTAGGTCTCACGTATGCTAGGTAAGTGCTCTACCACCAAGCCACACCCTCAGCTGAAATTGTATTAATGTAGTTGCTAAATGCATGTTTAGATTTTTTTTTAATGGCTTAAAAGCTGTTCTTTGATTAATTTCCCACAGGCATATCATTATCAAATACCATGGTAAATGCAGGTTTGACTTCCTTTAAAAAAATAGAAGAAGCAAATGCAAGAGAACTTGAACTGGTATGTAGTTTTCTTTGTTCCCAACATGACTGACTCCTCTTTAAACTCCAAACCCCACATCTCCATTTTGAGTGAAGCTGTCTGGATGTGGAAGCTGGCTTGGTCAGTAAACTACATACTCCGCAAGCCTGAGGATTCACAGCTCAGCACCCATTTTAAAAAACCAGACCCAGAATCACATGTGTAACCCCAGCACTCAGGAGGTCAAACACGAGGACCTGAGGCTTTCTGGCCTTATGTTCTAGTGGAGTCAGTGGGCGCCAGTGCAACGAACGAGGACACCGGCTCCTGAAAACAAGGTCGTTAGCAACTGAGGAAGACACCCAAGTGTCGATCTCTGGTCTCCTCACACATGCACAGACACTTACAAACATACATACATATGTGGCCATATAGACCACACACAAAAATACTTCTTCGTCATCGCCTTCAGTATTTCAATTACAGAGGTTTGGGGTATAAAACCTTATTAAATTTGTGACGTCTAAAAATATTTCAGTAAGAGTTTTAAATGTTTGTGCTAAGAGTATAATGATATAAATATGTTTAGATTTTAAGTAGGCACCCGCCTTTTGGAACCCAGATAAAAGAAGCTGTGATGTATCTACCAAAATATGAGCTTGAAGTGGAGCAGGTGAATATTTGCTTTCTTAAATATTTCGACAGGTTTTTTTTTTAAAGCAAAGCTTTCCATGACTACAATTGAAGCTGAGTATGAATAGTAAGATTACTTTAAAGCATTTAATACTTATTCTTTTTTTTTAAGATTGCAAGATACAGTGATATCGTGGCAGAAATACTAGTAACCGTTATATTAAGAAACTTTAAAGAGCTGCAAACTAAAAGAACAGCACCAGACTCTCACTATGCTACCTTAGTCATAGGTGATGCAGATAATCAAGTCATTTTGAAGCACAAAATTATGTGAGTAATTATGAGATAGCTACTTGATTTTATTTCTAAATTTATTGTACATTCAATTTTTACTATAAGATACAGTATATAGATCATCACATAATTAAATTACCATTCTCTGGCAATGGGTGTTGAGGGTTGTTCTGATGCTGGCCCTCAAGATCTGGTTACTTCCTGAATAGAACTATTCTTGCAGTGTAAACCTGCCTAAGGCATACCTGACTGGTTGATTAAACAGCCTATACCTGGGCAGGGCAGAATGGGGTAGGAATGGCTAAAGGTCCCAGGCTTTTGAGTTAAAGAGAATCATGGAAAATGGATGGGAAGAAAGGAGGAAGGAGGATGCCATGATGGGTTAGATGGAGAAGGAACCATGTGGGCCAGGAGGAAGGATTCTGAGGATGGTGTGGATGGAGAAAACACCCAAATGAAAACATAAGCAAGTATTTATAAAATTGTGGATGGAAGGCAGCCCAAATGGGGACGGTTAAGGCAGATGGCATTGATGGGGCCTGGGAGGTAAATGGTGACATTATTGAGACAGCATAGGTAGAAATACCTGCCCAGCCCAAGGTAAATAAGCCAAATATTAATCTAACAGTGTCTGTGTCTTATTTGTGATAGTGGGTCAAATGATACCACCGTGATAATCATAGGGCTAATAATAAACATACAGCCCAAGACCATTTTTTTTTTATTTACTGTAACAAATGGGGCAAGTTTTTCACTTGTCTATTTAAGAATAATACTAACTTTGGGTGTGCTGCTTTAGGTTATTCTGTTTAGAATTAGATGAAGAAATTATAAAGTCTGTCACCATGGAGGGATTTGTAACAAGAGAATACATGCTCTGGGGCCTTTCTTATTTTGCTGCTTTTCTTCATCTGTGGCTTTGAATACAGTTGTCAACGCAGAATGTAACACATAAGCAGCTACTCGTGCCCCCCGGTATGGCGTTGTAGCATTACTCTCTTTCAGAACGCAGTCAGGCTGGCCACATAGAAAGGACTCTTCCACATGCCCTCTTCTCTAGTATGCCAACTTAGAGTTTTCACTTCTGCGTTTTCTAGTTATCTCCCGTCAGAATGTCCTAGTAAACTAAGGGTAGCAGTGGCAGTGGTTGCTAGTTCTTCTCTAGTACTTGGTAGGCTCCAAATAATGAAGTACTTCATATTTGTATGAGATGGGCCCATCATAATTCACTTTTGTAGGGGGAAAATTGAGACAGACAGAGGTTTTAGTCACATTTGCCACGACCTGTAGCCAGTTGATAACACATTCTAGATGGATCCTAGTGTTCTCACCAGAGCCTGCCCTCACTGTCACTACAGAACTAAGTTTAGGAATGGCAGAGACTCTCTTACAGAATCTCCATTTCTGCAGGAGCTGCAGCAACAGGATGTTCTCCTCACCTACCACTAGCCCTAGCACACTTAGAACACACCATTTTATAAGTCTTTATTCCTGGGGACTAGGAGAAGGAATTCAGTTCAGTAATAAAATATTTTCCTTGTCTGTGTCAATGTTAAATACAAACTATTTAAAATTCAGTTTAAAAGATTGTTGAAGTTGTTTCTTACAAACAATTATAACTTGTGCACAAGCACATTTAAGTGGTATTGATTCAGAAGCAATATGTCTTATTGACAACAACTATATATTTCTCTTTGGCCTCAAATGAGTCTGTGCAACTTGGGATCAACTGTTGCTGAAATAATTTTGGTCAAGGTGGCTCCATCATTATGTGTGGTAGAATATGCTGATAATACTAGCATGGGTGGAGGTGGAGGCTCAGTAGTCCAGGTCATTCTTACTTACTTGGTAAGTAGGAGGAGACAAACAAAAAATGTCCACTGACACCTTGTTCTTCCTCCTTGGAGTGAAGTAGTTTTCAGTGGTTTTTTTACTACTCTTGATGACTAGTTTGAGAAGAACTAGTCCTTGAAATCAATGTGTTAGTTCCTTCAGTGCTTGGCTCACATTAAATCATACATTACTTCTTTTCAGGGATTCTTTTTTGTTAAAAAGCGGAAATTGGACTAAGAAAATTGATGTGAGGAGAGCTCTTACATGTGAAGATCTCAGCATAAACCTAATTAGTTCTGATTACGGTAAGTCAGTCATAGCAATATAAAATGTGACCGCAACTAAAATTACTTCTTTTATGCTAGCTGATACAGAAAAATACTAACTTCAAATAAATGTTGAGGGAAATATCATATATTTAGGTAACATAATTAAATTGTCATTTACCTGTAAGTCTTTGTTTTCTAAGATAAATTTCAGTTATGGTATTTAAAAATTTTTATTAAGCTAGATGCATACATTTTTGTCATATTTTAATCTTTTAAAAATACTTTCATTTTCTGTATTTAGCTCTAGAGCTATAAAAAGAAATAAAAAGCCTCGTGTTAAGACTTAATGTGATTTAATAAGCATTTGCATACCTCTTTTTCTCTTTCCAGTTGGTCTTGATATTCAGCAGAAATTTACAGTCTTTTATTTAGGACCCAGGAAGCTTGTAAGTCAAACAGATATGCAAAGAAAATTAGAAACAGGTGTTTCTCATCCTAAATACTCAGCGAGAGCTACTGCAGCAAGATCCAGTGAAGGTAAATAACACGACTGTTTGTTTTCTATTAACACAGCAACATGGCCTGGCAGGAGTGTTACTACAGGGTGACTTAGTTCAGACTGTCTGTATCTGGATGCCATATTTAGGTTTCAGATAGTGATAACATATTAAACTAATAATATATAGTGGGAATTCTATTTGAAAAATATGACTCATATTCTATTTGAAAATATGACTCATATTTTTCAAATTAGGATGATAAAGTGGGCAACAAATTACTTGAATAGTTTTTATATGCATTATCCCTTTTCATACATACTTCATTTTTAGGCCTATTGTCTAGAGGAAAGCAGTGATGTGAGGGAATCCACAGACTTTTTTTTAATAATTTTTATTTTTTATATTAATTACAGGTTATTTACTTTGTATCCCAGCTGTAGCCACCTCCCTGTCCCCTCCCAATCCCACCTGCCCTCCCTCATCTCCTCCCATGCCCCTTCCCCAGTCCACTTGTAGGGGAGGACCTCCTCCCCTTCCCTCTGACCCTAGTCTATCAGGTCTCATGAGGACTGGCTGCAGTGTCTTCCTCTGTGGCCTGGTAAGGCTGCTCCCCCTCGGGGGGAGGTGATCAAAGAGCCAGCTCCTGAGTTCATGTCAGAGACAGTCTCTGTTCCTTTTACTAGGGAAACCCACTTGGATGCTGAGCTGCCATGGGCTACGTCTGAGCAGGTTTTCTAGGTTATATCCGTGCATGGTCCTTGGTTGGGGAATCAGTCTCAGAAAAGACCCCTATGCCCAGATATATTTGAGTGCAGGGAATCATGTGAAAGAAGGGGGAGTTAGCAGGACCTGGAGAGGATGGGAACGCCACAAGGTCCACAGACTTTTAAGGCAGACCAGAGTGAAATGAGTGTTAGGAGTAACTGTAAGCAAACACTGACGTCAGTGACAGAAATGTGTAGTGAATCCAAGGGACTAGCCAGCTGCCTTAAAGAATCCACTCAGAGCTTTTACTGTGAACCCAAAACCATGTTTCAGTCTTCTCCTTTTATGTTCTAAAACACAATTGTAAGTTTGTAAGTGGTAAAGACTTTTAAAGCTCTACTTTACACACAAAAATTAAAGCCATCCATTACTGAATTGCTGTTCAAATTTCTGTCTCATAACCCATGTAAGGTATGTCCTTATCTACATCTTGACAGTACCGGGTGTACCAGGCTGGCTTCTGAATCCTTTTGGCTTGTCTCTAGTCATTTCAGGAGTCTCTCACAGTGCCACAACAGAGAGGGTCCGTATGAATGGCAGGAAGTCTGTGGTGGAGCTTGTTGCCATGTCCTAATGGACTAAGCTAACAGTGGGACTGTTACTGCAGTCAGGTGTTCACTAGCGTAAATGCAAGTGAGGGCAACCCAACCAGGAAGAGTCACAGTAAAAATAGACAGGAAGGGGGCTGCACACAAGAAGATGCATAAGCTCCAGAAGACATGCAGAACACAACAAAGAGACTTTAGAATATGAGACTTTAGAATGTGAGATAGCATTTTCTTATAGCGGCCCTACAAGCTGGTGGCGGCTCAGTACCAGAAAGGAGAGGTGAGGAGCTAAGAGTCAGTGACTAAAGGACTGAGATAAACAGATAATTTAATTCAAGACCTCGCCAAGAATGTGAAGATCAGTTTAACACTTAGACAACAAAGTTACCAAAGTAGATGAAAGAATCAATAACATGGAGGAAAAATTTAAAATAAGGAGGAAAAATCAGCAAGGAAATTGAGATACTTTTAAAAAAATTCTAGAAATAAAAAACAAAAAAATGAAAAACCTCAACCAGACAAAAACCCAGCAGAATCCATCTGAACAAACTTCAGTGATGTGGAACAAAGAGTGGGGGAAATTAACAAACATGAGCAAAACTTCCAAGAAGCATGGGATACATTCAGGAGACCAAATCTAAGAATCTACAGAAGTAATGTCAAAATTTAGACAATCTATTAATGAAATTATAGCTGAGAATTTTAAACTACAAAAAGAAATAGACATTTAAACAAAGGAAGCACTTGGAACCCCAACTATATTTAACCAGAAAAGAACCTTGTTATGATTTATCATAGTCAAGATGTAAAAAACAAACAAACAAAAAAAAAACCAATAATACTAAAAAAAAAAAAAAAAAAAAAAAAAGCTGTAAGGGGGAAAGCAGGCAAACACATCAGAATAACATTTAGATCTGTCATCAGCAAACTTAAAGTTTGCTAAAGTTAAAGTAAATATCAACTATCTAGATTGTTATACTCAGAAAAGTATTCTATGAAAATTGATGAGGAATAGGAATATTTCCAAACAAACACAAGCTAAGGCAATTTATGCTGACTAAACCAGAAATACAGAAAAAAAAATCTTAGAAGAATAGCATATACCGAGGAATAAGAAAGACAGTTTCACCTACCAGAACACAGGAAAGAACACACATCAGGTGGACACAGACGAGCCCTAGGGAACCGGGAAGCAGCATGATTACATGTTCAGTACAGCAAGCCAGCAAGCATCTGATACTCCCAGGAGGGAAAGAAAAGAATTACCAATAAACCAGCCAACCAGAACAGCAACCAACAGAATCATTAGTACCAGCAAATGCTTTTTTTTTAAATGTAGAAATGAAACAGTCAAAAACAAAACAACACACAGCAGAAGCCACCATCAGCACTTTGAATGAAAATGCCCTTTACTTGCCGGTGAAAAGGCAATCAAGAAAATGTCCCCACTGACACGCCCACAGCCCACTCAGAGACAATTCCTCAAGTGAGATTTTCTCTTCCCCAGGATGTCAGGTTGATAACCAACCCATCACAAGGACTAACTCGATTAAAAAAACAAGACCTGATTACCTTGTTCTCCCAAGAAACTCACATAACTGAAAAGACAACCAAAAATGTAGAGTCTATTGTTAACCAAACAAATAGAAGCCACAAACAGGCTGGCATAGAGATTCCTGTACTGGTAAGTAGAGTTCAAGTCAAAATCACTCAGAGAACATTAGCCACATTTTACTAAAGGAGGCCGGTCATCAAGAGGATATAAGCATTGTCAATATTTACATACTGACTCCTGGGCCCACAATTTTGTGAAATAAACAGTAAAGCATCAAAGGTCACAGGTCCTGACACAATAATAGTCAGAGACTTCAATGCCTCTAACATCTAGAGAGGCCTTTCCAACTAAAACACAGCGAAGGAACTTGAACAAATGATACCATGCTCACTAGGCCTTACCATATCTAAACAATATACTTCATCATAGACAGAGCATACACTTTTCACTCTCGGCCAGACCTTGGAAACATGCCTTGGAATGCTGGGAAGCCCCCATAATTCTGTTCACTCCTGCTGAGGGAGTACAGGGCATCACTTTCTGGTGCGTCCTGAGGAAGGTTTCAACTGGCAGCTCTTAGAAGGCTTGGAATGGGTGAGGGGCTCTTGACTAAAGGCCCGGAATCTGTGAAAGGCTCTTGACAAAACAATTTACAAGGCGTTTCCTCCTTCTGTCTCATCTCCCCGACAAGGTGTTTCTTTAGGTGAATGAAAGGGGCCCTCTAGGGGAGAATTAGCTAACCTAATTCAGGAGGCAGAATCTTGAGAGACAAGGCTCTGGCCACTGACTACACAGACCAGAATTGCCCAGTTTTCTACCGATCAAGCCCATGGTTTGAGCATGTACTCTTCATCTGCTAGGAGCTAGGTTTCTCACCATGCACAGTGGGTACACAGGAGGAAGATATGGAACATGTAAACACCCCAAAGTAAACAAAGTGATAAAAGAGTGAGATAATCTCATAATGTAAGAAACTTAATAGCAACTTCCTAGAAATTAAGCATCAAATTACGATTATAAAATAATAGTAGGCCGTAAATGAAAAGAACAAAAATTGGCACAGAGAAGGCAGATCTATGATTGGATGCATGAACACACTGGAGACAAAGTACAATCTAAATGAAATGAAAGCAAAGCAGAAACCAAGAAAACAGACAAAGAGACAGAACCTTGAATCTGACTAATAAGTATTTTAAAAAGAGAAAAAAATATCAAGACCTCCCATGAGGTATAGATGTGCCCACCAGAAAAGAACCCTTCCTGTTAGGAAATATGAAAGAAAATCTACTAATAAGGCATAATTGCAGCTTCTGACTGGAAGCCATAAGGCTCAGGAGAAAGAGCTCAGTGGGTAAGAGGCTGCTGCCAAGCCTGAGGAGCTGAGTTTGACCTCTGGGATCCACCTGGTAGGAGAGAAACAACTCAGCAAGTTGTCCTCTGGCACACGTGCGCGCGCACACACACACACACACACACACACACACACACACACACAGAAAGAGTAGTTTTAAATTTTATTTTTGTGTTTCTGAGACAGGGTTTCTTTGTGTAGCCATAGCTGTCCTGTAGAACAGGACATGTAGAACAGGCTGGCCTTGAACTCACAGAGATCCTCCTGTCCAGTGTTGGGATTAAAGGTGTGTGCCACTGCACCTGGCTTTAACACTTTATTTTGAAAGTAGATTTTTAAAGTTAGTGGACATCTGTATTAGCCAGAAAATGGGGATGTTCCATTATTTTTGTAGGTTTTGAGCATTCTTATCTCTAGTTTCAAAAATAATCACACAGTTTTCCACTGTGGTCATAGAATGGCTGTTTCTGAGTGTTTGTATTTTCCGAGTCATGTTCGGTTGAGAGCATTATAGGTAACTGTCTGCTTTCAGATGCCAGGGATTTATTATTGTTGCTAATAATAGTACTTTGTCAGCATTTGTGTGATGGATATTCCCCCTTGTGAACTTGACTGGACTTACAGTCACCTAGGAAACACACTTCTGGTTTCAGACAAGTATAGGTGTTTGTGTGTGGCTATGTGTGCGTGAATGCAGGTGCCTACAGGGCACAGAGGTGTTGAGTCTCCTTGGAGCGAGAATAGCAGGTAGTTGTAAGCCGCTCAGTGTGGGGTCTATGACCTGAGCTTGGGTGCTCCGAAAGGCAGTGTAGCTCTTAACCACCCAGCGCTCAGTCGCTCCAGGAGCTAGATGTTTGGTCAGAGCTAGGAGACAAGTAACTAACATACTATTAGACACATGTTGTTACCATGACACTGCAACAATTTCAGCTCAGTGTTTTTAGCCCATGCGAGCTGGCTACAGTGATTCTGAGCCTGTAGCGAGGTAGCACACCATGGGGTCAGGGCAGGGGAGCTTACTTAACTTTGTCTAGAACAGAAAGAAACATGTAGAAGCCAGGGACAAGATAGGTCCTTCAAAATCATTCCTCCATCAAGGTTGTGGAGCTAGACCCCACTGCCTCAAACCCCCCATGATGGTGTCAGATTTTAAAACCATGAATGTATTAGTCCGAGGGGTAGGGCAAGGCCTGCATATGTCAGTCACGTTGCAGTGATTGTACCCTCCAATTAGGGACCAACACCTGAGCCTTTGGGAGGATATTTTATATCCAAACCATAAAGTACCTGCCGTACTGGCCATCATGGTCCTCAAAGAGACCAGACACCTGCCTTTGTTGTGAGAAGCCTGATCCATTTACTCTAGGCTGCTACAGACATAGTATAAGTATCTAGCTGTGCCATGACTTGAGAAGGATTGAATAGTGACACTGAAAATAAAATGGCCAAGGAAGCTTGCAAAGGTCTTCAGAGCTGTTCAGTATTTCCAGGTCACTTAAAATTTGTGTTCCAGCCAAAACAGGCAGGTGTCAGTTCCCACAGTCTGTGATTTGCTCTCTTTGGCTACAGTGACCTCTGTGGAATATCTTCCCTTGTTCCTTTCCTGTCCAGAACCTGACTATCCTGTAAGGACAATTAAAATATTCTCCCTGTTCAATATTACTAGTCAGAACTATATCAAGAAAAATGTACTCAAGACATAGTAAATGTGGCAGGCCTAGTGGAAGTTCTGCTTGGGGAACTGAGGCAGGAGGCTTATAAATTTGAGGCCAGCACAGGGGACTTAGATGTTCTTTCAAAACAAAATGTAGGAAGAGCCGGCTTGGGAAACACACTGCTCCATGACAGAGTGCTCACTTAGCAAGCACAGTGCCCTATGCTCAGTCCCTAGTACTACAGGAAAAACCCACAAAACCCACATATAGGTAGATTGTATATTACATGATTAATTAAATGTGTGGATCCATTTTGAAAGATCCCCGGAGGGTATCTTCCGTCAGAGAGACCCCCTCCCAAGGATCAACGAGTCCATTCGGATGCAAACAGCAAGAGGCTTTTATTTTGATTCACGAGTACTCGGGGCAGCAAGGTCACTCGAGAGGACCCTGCGCGCCCCCTAGATGGGAAGCTGGGGTTTTTATAGGGTTTTAGAGGCAGAAGCACTGGTACAGAAGCGAGAGGGCATGGTTACAGGGGGCTGATTGGTACGTTTACACGAGACCACAATTTGCGTCAAAGTTTGGCAGGGGCACCAAGATTCCAGGAACTGGGTGGTCAAGGGGGGTAGGATGACCCCTTGACGTGGCCCGCCACCTGTTATTTTGTTTTTCCCTATCTTAGCTGAAACAGTCTCACAGATATCTATGAGAGTGATTAACACAAACTGTTTTTAGTATGACTGGGGCAGCCTGACCACAGATATCCCAAGTGGGTGACACAGCTAGGATTTTTCAGTAATTTTCCAGTTTCTCATCTGGCCTTCAGAGTTTTACAAAACAGTGGTGTCTCACAAAATGGCATTAGCTATGTTTAACTTAGTGTGAGGCTGGGGTCTTTCAATTTGTTAGAGCTTGGGGACACCGTGCTGGAAGTATCTTTCCTTTGAATCTTCGTAGCAAATCTTATGTGCTTCAGAGCGTTTACTTTCAATTTACCAACTCTGTGCCGTCCTGTCTACTAACCAGCCAGGATGTCATCAAATGCTGTGAGATTTGCTGATTCCAAGTACTCAGCCTTAAGGACAGAATAGTGTTTCAAAACCCTATCTTCATTCTTACTTCCGTGAAGACCAAATTTGTTGTTGATATTCCTCTGTATTTGCTTGAGCTTATATTAGAGAAGTTGAAAACAGTGTTTAGGTGGCTGGATGTCCTGTATGAAGAACTGGGGTGGGCTAAGAGTGGGGAGAGACTTAGAAGAAATACCTTTTTAACAGTTTAAGGTGGTATTCGAGGAAGTGTTACCACCTTGTTACCATTCTTGTTACCACCTAGGGAAAAAAGAGTGGATGGAAAGTAACTGTAATAGATTTCTAATAGTAGATGTAATGACAAATGTACTTTGTTATTAATTGTTATCACATTACATTAATTTGTTATCCCATTAATTTAGGAGTGTCTACCGGGAAAAAAGCTGGGAACCGAGAATGCAACCATCATTGTAAAAATAAACATGCATGTGGACATGAGTGCTGTAAGTTCTGTTGAGATTGGCTCTAACTGAAATGCCTTTGCTGACCGCAGCTGGAGAACCTCCCAGTGCTATGTACCGATCTTGTAGAGGACCCAAGTTCAGTTCCCAGCACCCACAGTCAACCACAGCTTCAGTTCCACCTCCGAGAGCGCCTGCACTCATGTTCACACATGCACATGAGCATGCACATGTGCTCACATGCATACACATACACATAATTAAGGATAAAATGAATTTTTAAAAGTCTTTAGCGGATAATAATGATATGCTAATTTTCTGCATATGGTGTTTATAGCATTCAACTTAAAACTCTCCAGATAGTTTGCCTTTGTGGGAGAGAAGAACAACATGAAAAAAGTAAATATTAGATTTGACATTTCAAAGACATTTAGGATTTTTTTTTCTTTTAAATACTTCAAAAATTTTAAGATTTCACTGGTCAAATCTATCATCTGTACTTGGGAGCCTAAGGCAGGAAGATGGTGAGGTGAAGGTCAAATTGAACTGCATAATAAGATCCTGCCTTAAAAAACAAAAGCAGGACTGGAGAGATGGCTCAGTGGTTAAGAGCACCATCTTCTCTTCCTAAAAGGACCTGAGTTCAGTTCCCAGCACCCACATGGCAACTCTAGTTCCAAAGGATCTAACACCTTCACCCTAATGCACATGAAATAAAATTAAATTATTTAAAAAAAAAAAAAAAACAACAAGAAAAGAAACTACAATTTCCTTTAATAGGTAAAACTGGAGTTGCACAAAAGCCAGAAGTTAAAGAGTCGGCAATGTCTTCATATTTGTCTGACTTAAAAAGCAGAAATGCCATTTCTTCTCTTCCGCCAGTTAAACGACTCAAGGTTAGTTTTAGTAGTGTTTAACCTTTGTTCTGCAATTAACTGAATGCAAATGTCACCTGCCCTGTGCATGACTAAGAAAAGTGGATGGCTACTGTGTTCTTTAAAATTATTTACGGGCTTGACTAGGAGTGTGATCATTATTTATAATCAATCTAGAAATCTATTTTTGGAGCATAACTCTCCAGCCTCTCTCCCTTAGTCTGGTAACTATTTAAGCAGAGAGAAGTCTGAGCTTGACTTAATTCAGCAACAAGTGGAACTAAACAATCTTGCCCTGTCTTGGCTTTGAGCTGGAAATTCTGGTGGGCTGGAAATTCTGAAGTTAGTTTGAATTCTTGCCCCTAAGTATGTGAGTGAACAAGAGCCTTCCTTCCCAGTGATGAAGAAATGAGTGTCTGTTACTTGATAGGATAGTCGCAAGTGGCCTTTCCTTAAGACCGTGCTTTCATGTCCTAGAGAAGTCCTTTGATAGGGCTTTTATACAGTGAAAGTGTGTAGTGAGGGGAAACAAAGGGAGTATTGGGAAATTGAGTCAGGAGATTTAGTGAGTTCCGATTCTGAGAAATTAATTTTGTAGGCCAGGCGTGGTGGCACACGCCTTTAATCCCAGCACTCCTCAGAAGGCAGAGGCAGGCGGATCTCTGACCTTGAGGCCAGCCTGGTCTACAAAGCAAGTCCTAGGACAGCCAGGGCTACACAGAGATACCCTGTCTCAAAAAATAATAAAAATTTTTGATGGTTTATGTTTTCCTTCCCTCCCTTCTTTTCTCTTTCCCTTCCTTCATTCCTGCTTTTCTTCCATATTGTTATTTCTTTCCATCTTTATAAGAATTAAGGATATGTCAGTATACCAAAATATATTGATAAGTAAGACAGATTTAGTCTCAGTCCTCATTGAATTTATAGTTGAGTAAAGAATACAAATAAACAAACTGTGACAGAGACTGATGGACTCCATTTTAAAGGTCTAGAGTATTTTGTGGTGCCAGAGAGATTGTCCAAGTAGCTGAATGTCTGGAAATCATTTTTAAGTAGTTAGCAATAAGGCTGGAGAGGTGGATAGGAACTAGATCATGCTAACCATTTTGTTATTTTAGAGATTTATATTTCGTCCAAAAACTATTTAGAAATATTGAAGTGCTTTAATCATTCACATGATCAGAGTTGGATTTTATAAAGCACATTCTGGCTGCAATGAAAAGAAAAAGGAGCTTAAAAATAGGAACATGGAAACTCAGTAGGTTGTTTTGCAAGGACCGAAGTAAACTAATGGTAATCTAGGGTAGTGGTAGCAGGCAGTGGAGAGAAGTGACTGCGCTTATAGCGGTTTCCAGAGGTTTTCCCTGGCTGTGAGGGGGAGGTGGAAGGAGTCAGCATCAATGCCTGACTTCCCGGCTTCATCAGCTGGGAGACAGGCCAGGCCTCTTTAGGGCAGGGAGAAATACTAGACTTAGGGCTGGGGACAGTAGTGCTCAATGGTTAGTGCTTGCCTAAGTTTGTCCATTATTTGTTCTTCTATGTCTATTATTTGTTCTTGCCATGACCAAGGCAACTTAACAAAAGAGTGTATTTGAGCTTATGGTGAGTTTAACATGGCAGAAGGTGTGGCTGTAGTGGTCATTTTTTTAAAAAACTCTATTTGGAGTGCTTAAGCCTCAACCTCCCTTCCATCCGTACATATGAGAGCCAAGGTTAGTGGGGAGAGAGGGCCCCTTTCCTTCTCCTGGGTGTTTAGGGTCAAAGGCTTCTTCACACCAATTCGCCCCAAACTGTTGCTCTCCAGCTGTCTGCTCTAAACCGCCTCACTGTCGGTCTGTGGTCTCTGGTCTCTCTCTCCAGACTGCTCCACGCCACACGGCAACACTGCACACCAGGCCTTCGAGTTCTCTGGCTCTCCTCAGGGTCCTAGACCATGCCCTTCTTTGTGCCATTACCTGTTGGCAAAAGCCACGCCTCACAGGAGACAGTTAACAGGTGTGGACAAACTAGCCCAACTAAAATCCCACACTTGGGATTAAAACATAAACATATTTACGTAACATCACTGAGTTTACAAAGAATCCACAAGTCCCACTGCATGTGGCAGCAGGCAGCAGGCAGCTGGAGCAGAAGCTAAGGACTTGCATTTTGAACTGCAAATACGGAGCAGAGAGAGCAACTTGAAGTGGCAGGATTCTTTAAACTCTCAAAGCCTATCTCCAGCAGCCTACTCCTCCAGCAAGGATATACTCTGTAAGCCTTCCACAGTGCCACCAGCTGGGAACCAGGCGTTCAAATACATGAGCCTAAGGGGGCATGCCATTTGTATACTGGGTTCAACTTTCCAATTCTACCACCACAAAAAACAAGATATCCACATAAAAATGTCCTAGAGGCAGTTAGCTACAGCTGAAAATCAGAAGAGAAAGGAAGCTAAAATAGAGAGGCATTCATAGAAAAATGATATTTTAAGCCATGGAAGTCAGAGATCTTTTTCTGAAAACATACCACTTTAGAGTGAAAAGAGAAGGGTAAGTTAAACAAAACATTTCTGAAAAATGTCTATATTTAATTAGGGCCTGAGAAGACTATTTGAATTGAGAATTAATCCAAGATACTCCTAATTCATTGATCTCTGGACTTTATCAGCAGTAATTTTGTTATTTGGTTTATTTGTGAAAGTGATAGTTGAACTTGGAATGACATTCTTTTTTATTAACAGTTACAGATGAACAAATCTCATTTTCAAAATGTGGACCTTAAAGAGATTGGTTCTACTCCAAGGCCTTCCCATTCCAGTATAGCAAGGTACAAATGCAATGTTAACACCTCAGGTAAAGTTTTCATTTAAATGTTGCTCCTCCAGAAAGCCACTTTTTCAGGGGGAGTAAGTCACTGACTACTCCCGAAAATCACTGTAACCACTTAGTTTCATAACATAGCAACACTGTCACAGGGTTTCAGTATACCATATGTTAACATTCTTTGATCTCCTCTTTCCTAGGAAACTACCCATCCATTATGTTATCCCCTGGTTCTCCTCTTAAGAGACAGGAGGTCCTGTGCTTTACAAGGAAAGCCATGGTGTGTGCAAATCTAATCTTTCCCTGCAGGTGCTCACTCCATACTGATAGCACCTTGAGAAACACTTTATGATTTGAAATTTTTCTTATGCAATAAAGCTTTTGACTTTCATAATCATCTTGCTCATGAAATAATTTTATCTTATGCTATTTTATATTATTTATTTACTGGTTGGTGTTTTGAGATAGTATCTTGGTATGTAGCCCAGGCTGGCCTTGAATTCATTATACACTCTAGACTGTCTCACACTCATAATCTATTGTAGTAATTTCTCAGTGCTGAGATTGTAATGTACACCTCAATACATGATGCTTACTTAATTTTATTAATATAAAACTAGACCCTGTATTCCCAGTTAATAAGCAGAAGACCTCAGATGATAACTCATTGTTCTTTTCTTATATCATGATGCAAAGAGACTATTGCATACATAATTTCCTATTCAGTTTACTATATCTTTCCTGAATCTTTAAGCTTATTTTTTATTCTTTGACAGTTTAATGCTTACATATAATAAACTTCAGATACTTACTCCCTACTCCCCTCTTTGATCCATGTTCCTTCCCCCACTGAAACTTTTCTTCCCAGGGTCCTCCTGCTCGGTCTTTCTGTGAGAACCACTCTGTTAGTGAGGACTCTGCAATAGCATGGTGGGATGTTGTTTACTGGCACATAGGCAGGTCCTCAGGGCTCTCACTGAAGACACTGCTAGTCCTTCCCCCAGCCAGCATCACCCCTTAGTGCCTCTCAGGGAGGAGTCGGATAGGAGAATTCTATCCGTCAGGGTGACAGCTGTTTATTTACCAACCGTTACAGAACAAAAGCTGTCCAGTAAGAAGGCTAGACCCCAGCACTACTGCTAGAGATCTCAACTTCTGTTATCTAACTGACCTTAGATTTTACAGACTGTCATGATGGCAGGTGTCTACTGAGGAATGTAAATGACTGAATGCTGGTCTCTTCCGTCAAACATTAGTTTTCACCCTTTGTTGCCCACATTCATTACAGTTATCACAGAACTGTCAAGCTAATAAGCCATGTTTTTTTTTTTAATTTATGTGAATAAGTAGTTTCCAAGGCCAAGTTTATTATACTTCCTTTTTATCATTTTATCTTCATAAAGATCAGAACATTTAAGCATCCAAGGATTGCCAATATTGGGACAGTGGGATCAGCATGGAATCTGTGGAAAAGTTCAGCAGGCACCATCTGAACATCGTGACAAAGGTAAATTGCTATTGCTTTTGACTTGCGAGGGAGTTTGATATTATTAAGGTGACCAATTCATTTAGTTGAAAACCCGTCATCTGCAAAGATTAGGAATATTAACTGGCAACAGTTTTATCCTGGATTATAGAACCAGTTTCAGATTCTTAGGCTTTTTTCAAATTGTCTTGCTCTGTGCCAAAGATATTTTTGAGTGTCTTCCCTACAAAATGTTAGCTATTTTACTTAAAGAATTGTCTATACATGTGACAAAGAACTGGAAAAATTATAAATTCTTGTGTGAACAAAGTATTAAATGTAAATAATTTTATGGGTTTAAAATTAGTGCAGTTTCGTAAAATACTTGTTTGACCTTGGGTAACTATTTAACTTTGTTGGGTCTGAGTCTGGTCTTTAAAATGAAAGAAGTGGGGGCCAGTGAGATGTCTTAGTGGGGCAAAGGTGCTTGTGGCCAAGCCTGATGCCCAGGGTACAGAACCCACTTGGTGGAAGGGAGATCTCACTCCTACATGTGTCCTCTGACCTCCGCATACACACCATGGCACATGACACACATGTGCACACACACACACACACACCAAGTAAGAAATGTTAGGCGTATTAAAATGAGGTATCAAAATAATTGGCCATTAGTATCTCTTCCATTCTTAAGTCGTTGGTTCTTAAAATTTCTAGATACAATGAGAATATAACTAGTTTGAGAGGCACAGAAATTTTGTAGTCTGGATTTGCTTTTATCTGTGCCTGTTATTAAAAATGCAGGACTACATATGGATTCTTCAGCACTGTTTCTTTGGATCCAGCTGTTATTAGTGCCATTTCCCTGGTCCATGCTACTCACAGCAAGATGTATTGAAACGAAAAATAGCCCTGTCTGTGCGTTGTTTGTTCAGGTGGCTGCATATAAATGTAAATGAGATGGCGAGCTTTGGCGCCTCCTGAAATCTGCACGTTTGGCATGGGCTTCACTGTGTTACTCTTGTTCCCTTTGGTCACAGCGTAAGGTCCTAGGTAGTTGCATATGCATTTCAGTGGAACAGTGCTTGTCTAGCAACATCCTAGATCTGATCCCAACATGCCACAGTGAGTAAATAAATAGATAAATTACTAGATTATCTTGGACAAGAGTGTCTGCCACCTTTCATGACGTCCATGAGGCCCAATGTGAGATCAGGGAAGTTTTCTAATCTTACTTGGACAATCAGATAATTCATCCAACTAATCATTACAAAACAGGAAGCTTAAAATTTCCACTTTTTAAATTTTATCTTTTAATCCACAGGCCTCTGTCTTGTTTCTTCCTTCTACTGCTACCCTATACTCTACTCTTCCTATACACAACTTACACTTCCTTCTGATTGCTCTCCTATATGTTTATAGTTAGTTTCCACATTTTACTTCTTTTCTGCTCATTATCTAAACTCCAGTGGATAGTGTGACATTAAGCCTCAGCTAGATGCTTAACCCCAAAGATGCCTGTGTTACTGCTTCACTGAACGCAGCTTGTCTTCCTCCTGTCTCTCCTTCCCTCCCCCCCACCCCTTCTTTCTTGTTAAGAAAGTAGCCGTCTTCGTGACAGTGTAGCTGACAGGATCTAGACAGAGTCTGGCTAGGTCTGCTGTTCACTGTAACCCTCGAGGTTTGCTTACCTACTTTGTCTCAGTCCTCTTCCCTGATTATTTCAGCCATTTGAGGATTAAATGAGATAATGCTTCTAAAGCTTATAAAGTAATATCTGGTGTTATTAATGGTGGTAATTAAGTATGTTTATTTTAAATTTCACACAAGAATCCTTATTGTCAAAACATATGTTAAGTGTTAGGAATGTTTTAAGAAAAACATGACAATTTTATTATCTGTATTCCAGTTTCACAAAGAGAAAAAGAAAAAGTATTAGAAATTATATGAGAAAGAATTTTGAATCATAAGATTTAATTTGGAAGGGACCTTTGTGCAGTTTCTCATTTTACAGTAAAGGAAGCCAAGATTCCAAGAGATTAAATGACTCGCCCAAAATCACATACCTAATTAATGGCAGGGCCAGAAATAGACTCCATATCTGCTGATTCCCAGTCCAATGCCATTTCTAGAAAATGAAATTGACTTTCAGTTATTTCATTTCAGTATAAAATTGAGTGTTGAATGCATAGTATATGAACACACTCTGATTCCTCCCATCTCACCCTACCTCCCCAACTGGTGGATTTCTCTGACTTTACATCTATCATTAAACCTCCATTAGTCTCAAAAGAAGTATTTTGTCTTTTATTGAAGGCCTAATTTGAATTCTATTTAATCTTGCTTTATCTGGGAATTTAAAAGGCCAGTTATTCCTCTTCTCTATCCAGTACTTTCATTGTTTACTTTTTTGTTTTTGGTTTGTTTTTTGAGACAAGGTCTCTCCATATAATCTACCTGTGTCTGGCGTGTAATGCACTGTGTTGTTCCATCCTGCCTTCCAACTTGTTATCCTTCTGCTTCTGCCTCCCAAGGATGCTCCCCACACTCAATTCCCTGGCTGCTTTCTGGTGTACTTTTCTAGCGTAGATACTCTTAAGCATTGTCTCCTTCAGCTGCATCATTTCCATCTAGCCAATCATGACCTTTGTGATAATAAATGATTTGAAATTTCTACACAAAGCAACTTACACACACAAGGTAACCGGTTATCTCCATACAAACTGGATGTCCAAGTAGATCAAGGCACTCAGACGATCTTGTCGTATCTCTGGTGTTCGTTCACGCAGTGGTTTAGCTGTGTGTCTTGTTAATTGCTTCACTTTTAAATATACTTTTTCACCTGACAAGTCTTCTCAAATTTTCATCTTTCCAGTTTAACCGCAGTAGAAAAAGATAGTTTCACTTGTAGTTGTACAGACCTGAATTTATTCTAACTGGTCTATCGTGAATAGTGTATTCATCTTGGATACATCTCTATAGCTGGGAAGTGGGCATCTATTCCTGTGGCCCCAGGGACAGCAGGGAAGCATAAGCAGTGGGTCACCTAGAATGACAGGCATGTTTCCCCAAGGAGAGAAAGGACACTTCTGCTGAGAGAGTCCAGATTGTCACAATGGTGATGAGCAGAGTCAGAGTCCTGTGCTCTACACCTGCGTCCCGCTTTCTTCAACCTCGGTCACTCTTCACGCATTAAAATCCAGGTTCTTCATGTTACTTTGAAACTGCTCTCCATGGGCCCTTCAGTGACTTAAGTGCTCAATCCCATGACTTCCCTTCCTCCTTCCCTCCCTCTCTCCCCCCCTTTCCTCCCACCTCCCTTCCCATTCCCTCCCATCTTCCCTTCCCATTCCTTCCCTCCCCCTTCCCTCTCTTCTTTCCTTCCTCCCTCCCTCCATCTCTTCCTTTGGAGTACTCCTCCTTTGGTTCTAGTAAAGTCCTCACGTCAGTTACTTCTCAGACTCCTGTTTGGCTATTCTTCTTGCTGAAGTTTCACATGGCTCCACCCATCCTTCGTCTTCCTCTCCCTGTTCCTCCTGCTCTTCCTCCTCTGCTTCCTGTTCCCGTCTCCCCCTTCCTCTCTTCATCCTTTTTGCCGAAGAGCTTGTACACAGAACCTCCTAAGCCACTTCTTAACTAACCCTGACTCTTGATGAGTTTTAGGTCTGTCTTTTTCTAAGTCCAAATGTACTCCTCTAGCCACCTTCCTGGATACAGCTGCCTCAAAGTTAACAGTGCCCACACCTAACCTCTGGTCTTCTTTGTGCTGCATTCCATTCCTTCTGTCTTTCCTCAGATCAGTGTGTGGCTCTTGTGAGCTGCTAAAGGCAGAGAAAGGATGACTCTGAGTCTCACTCTACATGTAACTCAGCAGTAGACCTGAAATGCTGTGTCACACAGCACTCCCACATTTGTTCTTTGCTCTCCTGTTTCTACTGATACTAAGGCCTAAACACTATTTCAGGAACTTCCTGACACCTTCCCCTGCTTCAGTCTCAGCACTCTCCAATCCATAAATATTCCAAGTGGCCAAACAGCCTCTGCTCATGCAGCCTGGGCATCAGCAGTGCTTGTCCTCTGCTGATGAGAAGAACAATCTTAAGGTGACAAAGCACTTTGTGTGGTGTGACACATGCCTGTAAGGTTCAGTGGTCCTTCTTTCTCTTGCTCTGTGCTCCAGAGATCCTGAGGACTCCTAGCTCCTGTCTACTCTGGCCTCTCATGCTGCTCCTTATCTGTCTGTCTGTCTGTTCTTCAGAGAATATCTTGCTGCTCCACAGCTACAAGTCCAGCCAGCAGAGAGGGTGATCTCTATTGTTTACACTTTTTTTAATCTTAAAGGAACCTTTTCTACCCTAATTGTACTTTTCACTGTATTTCATTGTATCTCCCACAATTTCTTCTGTTTTTAGTGTATGACGTGCTGTGTATATCAACACACAGAAGTGTAAATGTGAACTGTAGCTGGAGGCACAAGTGACTGTGTAGGGAAGGGAGAGGGTCGCTCATTCAAGTGAAAGGACTAAGTGCTACACTCCTCCAGACTCACAAGCTCTGTTAAAGTGCTGATAAATTTTATAATGAACAGTTTATGATAATTTAAAATAAATTCCAGTCAAATAAACTATGTTAAAGACAACAAAGATAGCGCTGAAAAAGTGAACTTCCTAACGTATTGTATGCTACTGTTGGAGGAAACGTGTTTAGCTCCTATACTCAGCAGCACAGGAGAATATTGTACAGCTAAAATCTGTTAAAATTATGGGGCTGGCAAGACGGCTTAGTGGGTAAAGGAACTTGTGGTGGCAAGGCTAGAGACCTGAGTTCAATCCATAGGATATATGAAAAAGTCAAAGAAAATGACTCCACAAAGGCGTGTTCTGCCCTCCACCAATGCACACGGGTATATGCACCCTCGTGCACATATCACACACACACTCAATGATAAGATGACAAAAACTAATCTACTAAACATTAAATTTAGTGAACCTATCAGTACATGTAATCCAGTACATAGAACTGTGTGAACAAGATGCCCATCAGTGCTCAGCATGCACTGTTGAGAATTGCTGCTCAGCAGATGATGGATGTCAGTTCAGAGCAATGCTGACCTCAACAACCTATATGCTTGTACACACATAACAGGTTTTCCTGGACGGCACCACTATCCAGGATCAAATGAGAGGACCCCTCAAACAGTGATGCTCAGAAGACACGCCGACACACCTGGAAACCACAGTGTTGCTGGTACCCGCAAGTCTTCAGAAGTTCTGAATGTGAGCTTTGAGCTGGGAGATGAAGTTTGGGATGACATTGATGAGGAGAGCTTAATAGAAGTTCTGAGCTCTTCAGCTGATGTTGAGAAGACAACTGGACCAGGTAAAACTGGATGTTTGCATAAAGCAATGTCATTAGAAAATCTTTGAATATTTTCCTGTTTGTATTTGTTTAAGTAAGACTGTAATTTTTCACAAAACTAAAAAAAAGAAGTGTCTCTTCCACAAACAGTGTTTTCCCCCTGAAGGCCAAAGCCAAGATTGTTTCCTAGTGATGCTATGAGAAATGAGGTGAGGTCTTCATAACCCATTCCCCTCTCCTTTTAAAAAGAAATTGTAATTATTGTACCTTGCCTGTATGCTGTGTAGTACATTCTTGCAGTGCCCACAGAGGCCAGTAGAGGGCATCTGATTCTCTGAGCTGGAGCTATGGAGGGAATGAGCTGCCATGTGCATTCTTGGAATGAAACCAGGGTCCTCTGGAGGAGCAGACAGTGCACCTAACCACTGAACCATCTCTCCAGCCCCCACCCCATTTCTTGTTAAAGGTCCTGTTTAAATCCAGACTATTTATTAAATTGTTCCTCATAAACAGACTATCCTGATCTCCATTCTGAGTTCACTTGGGACGAAAGTATTAAGTTTTTAAGAGTATGCGTGCATGTGCTTACAAGGACAGACAAAACCTCGACTTCTAGTGGAAAGGCTCACTTCTCAGGTATAAACAAACAAGAAGGAAGCGATAGTGCTTTCTGTATGGAAGGTGTGTGTAAGGCAGACAAAACCCAAAATCATGAGACTTAGATATTTGAGTTATATTTGCTCTGATTTAGCAGAACAGGTAACTGACTCTCTTGGTAGTTACTCCCAAAAATGGTGATACTCTCCCCATGAGGACAGACAGAAGAAACCAGCCCTCAGCCTGCAGAGCTGTCTTCCTCCCTCAGTTTCCCTCCACATGTTCTCCCCAGGACTATCTAAAACACATCAGAAAGCAGCAACTACAGCAGCCAGTTAGAAGTTAAAGTGCCATTGTCCTGGGATCATAAAGAGTTCATTCCCACTTTTTTCAGGACGATCAGGACTTTATCAGTTACACAGAATAGGACTGGAAATCTATTAGAGGCACATTTTTATATCTCCAGACAACTACTAATCCCTACCTCAAGATTGTTGATGTGTCCTGAAAGCTAGGAGTGTGTATGCTGACCTCTGAGGTGACTTAATCTTGTGACGGGAAAGCTACTTTTGGCGAATACATTTTCCCCATGTGTAGAGTATTTTAAACCATTGACCATTGAAAATACTGAATAAATTTCAATTTGGTCACATACCTAAATTTAAAAAAATCAGTAGTGGTGACTTGAGACCTTTAAACATAGTGCCTAATAAATTATGTGATTTATAGAATTTTTTTCTTGGCTTCTTCTCTTATATTCTCTATGTAAATCAGCTTCGACTATTGAGAATTATCTATTGGTTAGTTCTTTGTCAGCTTTGCACAAGCTAGAGTCACCCAGGAAGAGGGAGCCTCAGTTGAGAAAAAGCCTCCATCAGCTTGGTCCTCAGCTGGTCTGTGGGTGCATTTTCTTAGTGACTGATTTGGGAGGGCCCAGCCCCTATGGGCAGTGCCATCCCTGAAGGTGATCTGGAGAAGGCAGATAGAAGAAAGCAAACTGAGTGAGCCATAGGGAGCAGCCAAGGAAGCAGTGTTGCCCCATGGCCTGTGCTTCAGCTTGCACCTCCAGCTTCCTGCCTGATATCCTTCTTGATGATAAGCCAAAAGACGAAATAAACCCTTTCCTCTTCAACCTACTTTTGGTTAAGGTGTTTTATCACAGCAATCAAAAGCAAATTAGAACATCGGTCCTTCCTTTTCTTTTTTAAATTTATATTTTTTGTTATGGCTTTACCAGCTGGCCGATGAACACATCCACAGGTTTTCTGAGAACTGGGGAAGCTGACTGAAGGCCTAGTTCCTCCCCAGAAAGCACTCGGCCCTCCCCTTCCTTCCTCACTAGTCCTGCCTAGAGAGACACCTTGTAAAACTTGTGCAGCACTTGTGTTATCTGCCAGCTGGTATTTCACTTCAGAATGTTCTCTTCTCATAGGATTTGGAGACACTTGTGGTGCAAGTCTCAAGAGAAGCAAGATAGCCTTCCAAGAGTCAAGCAAATACCAAGGAGACCCCTCAAACAGGCAAGCTCCAGAACCCAGTCTGCAGTTCTTAGAACTTTGTGTCCTCTTGGAACAGAACTGCACATGGGCTCGGGTCATTTGATGTCAGAGAACTGTTAACGTGTTAGACCACCGTAAACGCGGGGACACTAGAAGCTTCTTTCGTAAAGTGCTGCTGTCAGACCACCTGCACCAGCAGTGCTTATTAAGGGACTGAGCTCTTGTCCCCACATTAGATCTACTAAATCATGGTCTCTGGGGTGGAATCCAGGAATTTCATATTTTCCAAACAAGTAGGAAAGAGCTGAATAGGCATTCTAGGTCTAAATTTATTTTTTAACAAAAGGATATAAGGCTTTAAAAGATAGGCCATGTACAGGATCACTGAGGTATGTTTTGGGTTGCCATAGAAGTAAGGATGAAATTGCTGAATCTGAGTGTAAGGACGTAATGCTTTAATAAGTGCTACTTCTAGTAGGGCAAGATTCACAAACTCAAGCACCTTCAGAATTTAGGGAGCCAAGGCTGAGTGTGGACTGTATCAATAAGGGATAGACTGCCACTCAGCTCTAGTTGGTTATTGCTGCCTGTGAAATACAAGTTTAGTGTTGGCAGATCTGTGATTTTTTTTCTAGGAAAGTTAGGGTTTTAAATTTTGACATTTAGTTAAAAGAAATTAATATGCTTGGCATCCCCTCCAAGTCCATCAAAGTACAGCAACAGTCATCTCTGTAGCCCAGAGTTAGCGTAGGGTTTTCCGGTGGTTCAGCTCCATGAAGACCATACAGACATTCAATTTAATCCGAAAAAACTATTTCTGAAGTAATAGAGAATGAGCAAATCTCAGAGGGTAGGATCATGAGAAGTATTGTGACCAATAAGAAAAACAGAATATGGTAAGAGCTGCCCTGGGCAGAGGTGATGGGGAAAAGGTTAGAGTTGCATTTTTCACGTCTCAGAGATGTGCCTGAGATGGCTGAGTAAGTAAAGGCACTTGCCACCAAGCCGGATTACCTGAGTTTGCTCTTCAGAATCCATGTACTGGAAGGAGAGAGACACCTTCCACAGTTTGTGCTATGACCTCCACACTCACGCGGGCACACACACAAATGTTTAAAATCTCAGAGATAGTCCATTCAATCTAATAATTAATGAAGTATGATAGTGGAGGAGGGGAGAGAATGCATAGCAGCTAGATACATGGAGAATTTTTAACTAAGATTGTAATCAAGGCACTGTGATTTTTCAGTTCTTCGTATATTTACCCTTCCCTCATGTTAACTGGCACATACTGCCACAGAGGACAAATGTAGTGTGTCGGAGGCCAGTGTCCCTCTGCCCTGCACCACTGTTTTGCGACATAGGGAAACATTGTCTGAGAAGACAGGAAACACAAAATTGGAAAAGAAAAAAAGCATCTTAGAAATGTTTAATTTGCATCAGTTTCAACAAAGCGCAAAGTGCATTTGGAAATACTAGACTTGATTAGAAATCAAGACAGGGGAAGAATTTTGGCCAGAAGACAAGAAATGCTGACAGCCCCTCTATTGGGTATTCAGCCTTATAAGTCATCACTGCCTGATCATGAGCAGCAGGACCGCAGAGCCCCGGAGCCCAGGGAGTGCAGGTGCAGGCAGACTTTGTGCACTTGGGCTGTGTTTTCCTGCCCCTGGGGCCTGAGACCACTGTTCTCAGCAGCAGCAGCAAGTCTCCCCCTCAGGTTTGCTAGGAGAGCTCCACTGCCCAGGAGCTCATCCACCCTATCGTTCTCTGTTCTCTGGGTTTTCTTCTCCTAGGCCATCTAACAGCCTTTTTAACATGTCCTTTTATCCCTTTTCGTTTATTAAGTCTGAGTCACAGAGAATAAACAGATATAAGCAGCAGCAGAAAACAAAGCTGTGCCTAGAAAAAAAGAGAAAACTATTTTTTTTACATCATGCATTTTAAAAACTACAAATAATTTGGAACCGTTTAGGAGATAAATGTTTTAGATGCATGCTCACAGGAAGCCCATGAGAAACACTGTCAGAGGTTGTGAGGTGGGAGAGGCCCATGGGAACTGACTGCTGCCCAAGGGTGCTGGCTTTCTGATGCTCCTTTCCCTGTCTGTCTTCTTCTGTGATCGAGTAGTCACTAACCAAATCAAACAATCTGGTCAGTGTACGTGACATATCCTCCTCCGTCCACTGTTCCCTCCTCTTCACACTGCTTTCAATCTTAGCCTTTACTAACACCTTAACTCAGAAAGCACTGGTGACCGTCTTTAAAAACAGCTATTTCCCAGGACGCTCTTCACGGGCTTCAGAACCTGTAACTGTGTATAAGTATATAAACACATATAATGTGTGTGTGGGCTCACTCCTCAGGCACAGCTCTGTGCTTTCCATTATTTACTTGTGTCTGTGTCTGGGGAAGTATGTGTGCACAACCGAGGAAGGAGTGTGTTAAAAGCACACACAGGCCAGAAGTTGGGTGCCCTCCTTCCCTGCTCTCTGTTTCTTTGAGTGGAGTGTCTCCCTGAGCTTGGCCTCGTGTGTTCTTGGCCACTGAAGGCCACAGCACATGTGCCCCTCCACTCAGTGGGGAGAGGGGGACCCAGCGTGTCATGCATGTGCTGGGCTCTTAACTCCTGGCCTTGGGCTATGCACCAGTCACTTGTTTTAATTATTTACACCACATCACGGCTTCCCCTCTCTCCTCCACTAACTCCTCCTGCCCCCCTCATCCTCCTTTCTCTTCAGAAAAGGGGAGGCCTCCCACAGAGTGTAGGGTGAGGGTCATCTACCCCTACTGTCAGCAACAGAGGCAGAGACAGCTTCTCCTGCTGTTCAGAGTGATGCCAAGCTGCAGAACTGGTGCACCCAGGCACAGGGCCTAGGCTGTCCTATACGTGCTCAGTTTGGCAGTTCAGTATGTGGGCCTCTATGCTCTTTTAATTCTTCCTCGCCTCTTCCACAGGGTTCCCCAAGCTCTGCCTACTGTTGTGCTGTGGGACTCTGCATCTGTTTGTCAGCTGCTGGGTGAGGCCTCTCAGAGGACAGTTGCATTAGGCACCAGCAGGTCTTCATGAAAGCAGAGCTATGGTGGGAAGACAAGCGTAGGGTACGGGCACAGCAGTCACTCTGACCTTCCTACAGTCTGCTTTGGTTTTGTTGTTGGTTGGCTGCTTTTGGATGGTTATTGTTGTCTGAGATCTCACCAACTGGACTACACTGGCTGGGTCAGGATCCACCTGTCTCCATTTCCCCAGCACCAGGGTCACATGCTTGCACCATGATACTTGGTGTCATGGTACCTGGGTTCTACACTCAAGCCAGGTCCAGGTGCTCACCAGGCAGGCATTTGATCAACTAAGCTGTTCTCCCTGCATGGTTTTTATTTTCATATATGGCCTGTTTCTGTGTTAGAGAATATCTCGCTGATGCTTGTTTACCATTTTATATCTAGTGCCTCGCATAATACATGGGGTATAATAGTAAATAATGTATTCTAAAGTGTGAGTTTAACAAAAAGTTATGAAGTCTTGTACGTAGTTACGTGAAGGAAAGTGGTAACGAAGTGAATCCAGAATACAAGAAGGAGGATAAAGGTGAGGCAATGAGAGTTTAGAAAAGATTTACAGGTTTCTACATTATAGAAAATCAAGTATAACCCTGAATCTTAAAGAAAATTGAGTGATTATTTCTTAAATAAGACTCTGGAATATGTAGGTTGGGTTTGTTCTTAAGGAGAGAAAACAGACAGGTATGGTCCCAGCACTTGGGAGGCAGAGGTAGGCAGATCTCTGTGAGCTGAGGCCAGCCTGGTCTACAGAGTCATCTTCAAGACAGCCAGAGCTACATGGGGTGACCCTGTTTCACAAAAAGAAGAAAATACACGAAGTTCTCAATGAGGACAGGAAACAATATCAACTTTTTGTAATAAATATAAAAGTTCTTCACAGAGTAACTATTAATGTAGAACACTTTGCTTTCTTGTCATATTTCATAACTGATTTGATTTTTAGTTTTGTTTCATCACGTGAGAAGCCGAATGTTTACGTATCAGATCGTGCCATGTCCAAGTGTGGGCCATCCCCTGTGGCAGAGTCACCACAACAAGCTGGAAGTGCGAGTCTTGTAAGCCATGTGGATTTGTTTCTATTTTCAATTTTGCTTGAATCTATAACTCAGTGATTGCTATTTTCTACATTAATCATAGGTCAGTTTGCACGAGCGAAGACAGCCAACGCTGTCACCCGTGATTGAGAGGGTGTGCTTTACCGGCTCTAAGAAAACACCATGGTCTTCCAAGTGTCAGGATATGTTTATTTGAAACAGTGGCTCTAAAAAGGAAACGTAAGAACTCTTCAAATACACTTCAAGGCTCTACTAGCAAAAAGTTTACAAAGAAATTCAGTGTTGTTTTTTGGTTCATTTTAAAGATTTATTTTTAACTGTGTGTCTGTGTGTCTCTGTTATCCGTGTGTGTATCTGTGTGTGTCTGTTGTGTGTGTGTATCTTTCTGTGTGTGCCTATGTATCTGTGTGTCTGTGTGTTTCTCTGGGTGTCTGTGTATGTCTACTGTCTGTGTATCTCTGTATCTGTGTGTGTCTATATCTGTGTGTCTGTTGTTTATGTGTGTAGGTGTTTGCATGTAAGTGAAGGAATCAGGTCCTTCTGCAGCTGAGGTTACAAGCAGTTGTGAGCTGTCTGCTGTGGGTGCTGACACTGGACTCAGGGCCTCTGGATGAACAATGCATGCTCTTAATCACTGAGCTACTTCTCCAGACCCTCCTTAGTTCATTTTAAACATCAGACATGAAACTTTTTATTTATTGAAAGCATGGAAATTTAGCTCTCCTTAGAACTAAGGATCCTTAAAGCCACTAGATTGACTAGTTTTAAACTTATGTTTAATGCTGTTAACTAGGAGGCACTGAGTTGAAGGCGCCATTAACGACTTGAACGTTATGTTTTACTGACAGTGTAAACTGTAGTGTCTGTGGGGAAGCACAAGTGAGATCAGCTGCTCACAGAAGTTCAGGCTGCCATTTGCCCATCAGCAACGTCACAGCTCAGCAGGGCCAGTGTCACAGTTGCAGTGAATCTAACTAGCGCTCACTGCTGGACACTTCTAAGAGGGACCTCTCAGCAGTGTCTCTATCCGTAGAGGCAAGCTTGGAACCTGCTCATGCTTCATTAAACAGCATTACATGCCAACACATTTAAAGAAATAAATATGTTCCTCACCCTTTACGGTCAATTGTGTTTTACCCACAGACGAGGTTATCATATGAGGTGTGCTTACTCTATTGACCTCACAGCAAACCTGAAGTTTAACTGTACTGTAATGTCACATTATTTACTCTGGATTTAAAAAAAAAAAAAAAAAAGCTCATTTACAAAAAATAATTTTTATATTTGCTTTTTCCCTCTAGAAAGTATCATCCTGATTATGCAGCTGAAGAAATGAAGGCCGTTCTGGAAACATTTATTGGCATTTTCTAATAGATATATATATTTATATTATTAAAGCAAAGTATAAACATGCTAGTGACTAATTATGATTTATTTTTTAAAGATAACTGATAATTGTTCAGAATTTTTCCCTTAGATGTGATTCATTTCTCAACTTCTAAAAAATTTGTGTACGGATATATTTTTAATTGTAACTTTTAGAATGGTTGTTTCAATAAACTGTTAAATTATTATAAATAATTTGCTATTAAACCAGTTTTAATAAAAACTAATATTTCATTTTCATTTCTTTATCTTTTTTTTTTTCTTCCGAGTTAGGGTTTCTCTGTAGCCTTGGCTGTCCTGCACTCACTTTGTAGACCAGGCTGGCCTCCATCTCACAGAGATCAGCCTGCCTCTGCCCCGGGTGCTGGGAGCACGGGTGTGTGCCACCACACTCAGCCATTTTATATTTTCTTAAGTTATCTGAGAGAGCAAAATAACGCTATCAATGAGCCTGCCTATTGCACAGCATATTCATTAGCATGGTTCTTGTGTCCTGTTCTGGTGTTGGCTCCTCTGGGCTTTTGAGAGTCTGGTGGCCTTTTAATCAGTTTTCTCACTTTGCGCAGTGGTAAATAAAATATTGATGGTACAGATTGTTGTACTTACTTGTTGAAGGTTTTTCTTATGTGTATAGGTGTAGTCCTCCATGCGTTGATTTGTACGTGTGAGCGCAGGAGCTCACAGAAGCCATGACGTGCTTGCACCATGACACTTGGTGGTCTGTACCTCGGTTCTACACAGATTCCCCAGAGCTGGAGTTACGGCTGCTTGTGAGCTGTTGTGTGGGTGCTGGGAAGCACTCTCAGCCATGAAGCCATCTCTCCGGCTGTGCTCACCTCACTTTTCAGTGCGCGAGGCGGAAACCATGAGCCTGCCTTTACTGTAGCCAAGGCACATTCTGTCTTTATGCAGGGTTATTACGAGGTTAGGCTCACTCCTAATTTACCTTATACAGTAGGCAAAGTGGAAACCACGAGAAATTTAGAACATTTTTAGATGTTTTTGTCTCTAAGCATAAAAATGTAGAGGCAGAGAAAAAGAGAAACTTACAGGAGAAATAATGTCGTTACTAATGAACATTATTAAGAATGTGTGCTAAACCTCTACCAAAAGCATAGAACAAAGCTAAAAAGTGTGTCTCCTATTAAGGACAACCCTACCTGTCTTTTACAATTGGCATCTCTGTGCCAGAGTCCATCATAACACAACCTATAAACGTTCTTCAGATTCATTATAATGAAAAGCTGCGGCACTAAAATCTGTGTTTCTTTGACTTTGACACTAAAGTAACCGTTGACTTGAGTGTGCTCTGATACGGGAAAACCACTATGTGTGGGCCTGCGGAGGACGAGGCTGCTTCTGTTCTCACAGAGTTCACAAGCTGGCAGACAGAAGTGTAGGAAGGTGCAGGCATGCCTCAGCCCTCCAGCGCACAGCGGGCCTTGCAGTGCAGCAAGCTGTATTAAGTGTTTGGTTTCTTGGTGAGTGTAAAGCTTATGCTTATGCTATACTGTAGCCTCTGGTATAGGTAAGAGCGTCAATAGCGTTAAAAAGCAACGGTCCTGTCTTCATTTAAAGCAGTCCGTTCTAAGAAATGCTATCGTATGCGCTGCTGGAATGCATCAACACACTGCTCCGTTGGGTGGGAGACCTTCAGCTTGCAAGGAAGCAGTGCAGCCTGCGCCTGGGAAGGAAGGGAGGTGGGGGCGGTGGGAGAGCGGGCGGGCGTGCAGAGCACAAGGCCGTGTACTCACTCACCTGGTGGGCTCGATTGTAGAGGACTGCCCTGTGCCACACTCACCGAGGTCTGGAGTCTCCCTAAGTGGTTTACATTTCCAATACACTCCCCAAGACTGCTGGGGTGCAGGAACCACACTGTAACCGAGGTCTTCAAAACCGAGGACGCTAAGCTCCCTCGCCTAAGTCCCACACAGCCTCACACCCGCCCTCCCCCGGCCCTCCTCCGGGAAAACGGCCCCTTTTTCCTTCCCAGAGGGCCTTCTCCTGCCAGCAAGTCCCGCCCAGATGATTGGCCAGTCAGCTCTTTATTGACAGCTGCTACATCCACTCACGATCCTCCTCCACTGCCTTCAGAAAAGTTCATACTTGACCTTAAAAAAGCAAGACTGTGTTGAGGGAAAATGTTAAGAAACGGACATTCTAGACAGGGGGAACGGCCCAAGTAGAGATCCGAGGAGGAAAATACGGAGCACAAAAGAATCCTAGAAATGAATTCTGATAAAATAGCGGGAACAGAGAGGAAAAAGAAAAAGAACAAAGTCTGATTTATGAAAAGGTATGTATGTGGGCCTGTTGGTGCACATCTTTAATCCCAGGACTCAGGAGGCAGAGGCAGGTGAGTTTGAAGCCAACCTGGGCTACAGAGTGAGCTCCAGGACAGCCAGGGCTGCGTGTTGAGATTCAAAACACTGTGACAGGAAGGAGCTGCGGAGCGCTGGCCAGCCTCGGGCTCAGCTTGTCTTGGGAGCCCTGCGGTTCGGCTGCGAGTTCCTGCAGAATGCGCGCACTCTCCTTCCCTTTGCAGTCCTGCAAGGAGCCCACCGCACCAAAGGAGACCTCCTTGCGGAGCTTCTGGTCTGAGCCACGCCTCCCCACATGGCCGGGTGTGGCTGTGAAGAGCGCCATCCCACCTGCGCCGGAACAGACTTAGACCAGCAGTTACACTCTTCACTGGACCCTGCGTGAAGTTCTTGGCTTTCATCAGCTGGTAGGGACACCAGTGCTTAAGTTCTTGTCGTTGTTCTACACATGGCCAACCTCATCCCTGGAATTCAGGTGGCCATTTTTTTTTTCCCCAGAGGAGTTAAGAGTCGTCAGGATTTCCAGCGTCGGTATTTCAACATTTAAACATGTCTGGATTGTGTCTTGGTGGACATAATTGTCACAGGCTGGGAGCCTTGGCTTGGCTGAGCTTGTTTCCAGCATCTAGCGGCATGGGGACCCGAACCGGCATTTCCAACATAATGGTTCTTGTATATTAGTATTGGTGCGTTATTGTGTGGAGAATCCGCAGCAGCTGTGCGGGGCCCGGGCCCAGCGGAGGTCGCCAGGCGGTGCGACAAGTGCGTTTACCCACTGGGACCAAGGCCCACGCCACGCAGCCCCTCTGCTGTCTACGCAGGAGGGAAGATTGTCTTTCCCGCATGTTCTGCCGTCACATGACTCCAGCAATAGGGCGCTATCCACCCTTTCCTCTCTGTGCAGTCACCTCTTTCAGACCTCTCCTCTGGAGTGGGAACCGGGATCCAGGAAGGGGTGAGGGAGACGGGGTCTGCAGCCCAGCCCACAGCACGGTGCAGATCTGCCTGGACTGCCAAGCAGCGAGCCTTCTCGCTCGGCCTCTGGGCCAGCATGCAGCGCCTGAGCTCTGGGTATGCGGAGGGGCAGGCTGCCAGCACCCCGGGAACTCCGTGGGGGCGGGGAGGGGCAGCTGCTCCGGCCCGTCTGAGGCTCTATTGCATGGCTGGCATGCCCTGGCTGTGCCAACCGGTGTGCCCGCCGACCCAGGCGCTCCGCCATAGAGCGGTGTGGAAGCCTCCCTCACCGTCCGCTCGGCCCACTGGGGTTGCAGCCCCCACTGTCGAGGGGGACGATATTGTCTTTGAAGAAAAGTCGGAAGATTAAACTCCCGTCTTTACTGTCTGGCAGCTCTGTTGTAAAAGTATGGCCGAATAAAGTTACTCCTGAACTTCTCCTTTATCCTTAAATTAAACTTTAAAAAGAAAAGGATTAGCAGTTGTTATTAGATTCTTACCTTTAAATTATGAACTTCCAATATATAAACCTGGAGGTTTTCCCTGTGGTTTTATTACCTCCTCTGTCTGTTCATTTTCCTGTCCTGTCTATCAACCGTTTCCTAGCCTTTGGGAATTTTCCTTATTTTTTGTTTGCATTATAATGTCACATTTCTTATTTTAAATGATATTCATTTCATGTTTCATATGTAGCAAGAACACACTATAATAAGTTCATTTTACTACTTTTCACTTTCAAAATAACTTCATCTTTTGAAAATGTTGCCTCCTAGGATCCATCAAGGACTTCAGAGTGCACGCGGGAGAATGCTTTCTACGTTTCATTTTGCACACTTACGATGACAGGTTTGGTTTTGTTGTTTGTCACTAACGAAGCCGCTCAGGAGAGGATGAATTTGTTTTGGCTCAGTGTCAGGGGCATTTGTCCACAGTCCTGGCTCCGTTGCCGCTGGGCACATGTGTGGTGTTCTGAAGCAGCTTACCTCGAGTCAGAGAGACAGAGTGGAAGACCTGGGACAACACACACTAACCAGAAGGTTTGCACACATCTTAGAGCACTGTCCTTGTTTGGGAGTGTGTGCTACGGGTTTTAGGTAGGAATGGAGATAACACAAAATAAAAGGATTTCGGGTAATACAGAAATGTACAGAGGAGTCAAAAATCACTGCTGGGGGCTGGAGAGATGGCTCAGTGGTTAAGAGCACTGGCTGTTCTTCCAGAGATCCTGAGTTCAATTCCCAGCAACCACATGGTGGCTCACAACCACCTATAAAGGGCTCTGGCTCCCTCTTCTGGTGTGCAGGTGTACATGCAAACAGAGCACTCCTACATTTAAAAAAAAAAAATCATTGTCGATCCCAGGTGTTGGTGATGGTCATAGCCCATCAAGATGCACATGAAGAAGCAACGCAACACATGAAGTGCTGTCAGCATCTAGCCCTGATTTAACAATACAGTAGGGATGTATGCATAGCCATAAGCATGTCACGAGTACCTTCCCAGGTGTGCATAATTTCTTCAATGACCGTCCTAGTGACATGCATTTCATTATCTCCAGATTTTTCCTGTGTTGCTATGGACATTGTTATAGACACAACTTTTTTTTCTGCTGGAAATGCACATCACTTTTTTGCTTTTGGTAGGTGGTCTGACGAAGACCACAGGCTCACATATTTGAATGCTTAGTCACCAAGGAGTGGAGCTTTTCCCAAGGATTAGAAGGATTAGGAGCTCCGGCCTTGTGGGAGGGGGTGTGTCAGTCAGGGTAGGCTTTGAGGCTGCAAAAATCCATGCCAGGCTTGGGAGAGCAAGCGCTCTCACGCTCCCACCCTCTCTCTTCCCCTCTCTGCTTTACAGATCAGAATGTAGCTTGCAGGTACTTTCCCAGCACCATACCTGCTACCCTGCTCCCTGCTCCTGCGATTCCTGCCAGGATGATAATGGACAAACAGCTGTCTGTGG